GGCGCATCCCCAAGCTGGAGACACTGCTGGTGGAGAACAAGGTGGGGGCGGCGGTGTGGGGGCGCGGCGACGGTGGTGGTGTGGGTGTGAAGCATCAAATCGCAGGCTGGGGCGATGCAGGGCTGGATGACATCAAGAAGGTGCCATTGCCACGCAGGTGGAGGCTCCCGCCTTCTTCCCCCCCTCCTTCCTCTACACCCAGAGCTGGGAGGACCCGGCGGCAGACGAGCCTCACCTGCAGGTGGGGAGGGGCGAGGAGGGGCCAGCCGCCTGCAGCAGGCACTCGGCACCGGGCGCATGCTCACCAGCCGGAGCAGTACCGCCTGCCGACACCACCCTGCGCTGCTGGCTGGCAGCTCCCACAGCTGAATGCCCGTGTGCCCGTGCCCCCTGCCTGCACCGCCGCCCCTGCTGGCGCAGATCAGCGACAGCGACGTGTGCCTGACGCTGACCTCCGGCGGCTGCAACTCGCTGCACCTGTGCATCAGCGGCGCGCGGCGCGTGTACAGCGTTGACTGCAAGTGAGTGGGGGGGGCTGCAGCCGGGGCCAGCCGCTACCTGCCTGCATGCGCATACCTGCCTGCTGCCGCGAGCGCTGTCCGGGCCCGTGTGACACGGGCCTGACTGGCCGCCCCTGGCTCTGCTGCCTCGCCCGCGCTGCCCCGCCTGCTGCTGCAGCCCCGCGCAGTCTGCACTGCTGGAGCTGAAGCAGGTGGCCATCCGGCAGCTGGAGTATGAGGATGTGTGGGCGCTGTTTGGGGAGGGCAAGGTGAGGGGCTGCTGGACGGGGTGGGGGGGCGGGGCGAGGGATGGGGGGACCGGCTGTCGGGGAGGCACGGCACGCAAAGGAGCAGGAGGGAGGCAGCCAAGGGGCGGCGGGGTGTGGGGGGCAGGTGGCAGTGGCAGCTGGCAGGCCTGAGCCGCAGGCGGAGCCTCCAGCGGCTGCGCGTGCCTCCACCTGCACCCTTTCCCAGCCCTGAGAGGCCGACGCCACCAGCCCTGCCTGCCCTGCTCGCCCCGCCCGCCCCCCCCCTTGCAGCACCCCCGCGCGGCGCAGCTGTTTGAACGAGAGCTGGCGCCCTTCCTGAGCCAGTCGGCCATCCGCTTCTGGCGGGACCGCCTGCGGTACTTTGACGATGGCCTGTACTTCCATGGCGGCATGGTGAGGGCCTGCGTGAAGGGTGCCGGGTGGGGAGGTGGCCGCGCACCTGGCGGGCCGCAGCCATGCGCCCGGCTGCAGCCAAGCAACCTGCCCTCCCCTTGACGCGGCAGCTTGCCCTCCAGCCATTCCACTGCACGCTGGACACCCTCCCCCCGCCTCCACTTCCACACACTTGCCCCCGCAGGGCAAGGTGGTGCGCGTGGTGCAGTCGCTGGCCTCCTGGCTGGGCATGGGGCGCGCGGTGGCGGCCGTGGCGGCGGCCCCCACCCTGAAGGCGCAGCGCGCGGGCTGGGAGGCGCTGTGGGTGGTGCGCCTGCTGCGCGCCGTCCCCGCCTGGGCCCTCTCCATCATCGCCGACTTTGCTGCCCTCCTCTTCTTCAACAGAGTCACCCTGTGGTGAGAGGCGCGCTGCCGCGGGGCTGGCGGCCCCGGGCCCATGGGCCGCTCTTGCGGGCCGAGACCTCGGCCGCCTGTGCCGCCGGCCGGCCCGGGTCTGTTGCGCGGCTCGTGTGCCCGGCCCGTTTTGTCACCCTCCTGGCCTTGCCACAACCCCACCCCCCTGCCCCGTCCCTGCACCCACGCCCAGGTTTGGCGGCGACATCCCCTTCAAGCAGTACCAGCTGATCATGCGGGACGGCGTGCACATGAGCGCCTACGCCGCCCGCACCTTTGATGGCGTGGCGCAGCACAGCCACCTGCGCCGCCACAACTACTTTTACTACAACTGCCTGACGGGTGAGCCTGAGGGGCGGGTGCTGCGGAGCACAGCGTAAGGCACGAGGGCAGGGTGTGCGGCAGGTGGGCAGGGCAGCGCTGCGTGGGAGGCGAGGGTTGGGGTTGGGCAGGAAGGGAAGGTAGGGGCAGGTGCCCACGCTCGCAGCACACCCTCCCCCAGCCCCAACCCTCGGCTCGTCCCCATGCTGCCGCCCGGCCACCTCCCCGCGCGCCGCCTCCCCGCCTGCAGGCAGGTTTGCGAGGGACAACTGCCCCTCCTACCTGACCCCCGCCGGCTTTGCCGCGCTCAAGGACGGCGCCCTGGACTCACTGGCAATCGTCAACGGCTTCTTCCTGCCCACCCTGCGTGCCCGCCAGTACACCAAGGTGCGCAGGCAGCTGCCGGGCAGCTGCCACGCAGGCGGGCAGGCACGAGCGGGCAGCGGGCAGGCCCGCTCCAGGCATGCCTGGGGAGTGCATGGGAGTGGAGGCATCGGGCACGGGTGGCTGCGTGGCGGCTGGCGTCCGGGGCCGCCGCCCACCTGGCCGGTACCGCATGTCGCAGGTCATCCTGATGGACCACCTGGACTGGCTGGACGACAAGGCGACGCGGGAGGTGGCCGCCACGCTGGCCAAGCAGGTGGGAGGCGGACCAGCGGCTGTGGTGGTTGGTTGCGGGTTGGAGCAGCGCTGCCGGGGCTGCTCTGGTGCCAGGCCAGCCCGCACCAGGCCCTGCTGTTGGCAAATCTGCGCATGCTTGCGCGCGCCATGCAAACGCTTGCACCCGGCGTGGGCCTGCCTGTCGCCACGCCGCAGGTGGCGCCCGGCGGCCGCGTCATCTGGCGCTCGGCCGCCTACGTGCCGCCCTACGCGGCCTTCATCGCCGACGCTGGCTTTGAGGTGCGGTGCATCCAGCGGGCTGACCAGGGCTTCATGGACCGGGTCAACATGTATGCCAGCTTCTGGGTGGCGGAGAAGAAGGCCAAGCAGCAGTGAGGCGCCGCCGGCCACGCCGCACACGCCCCCGGATTTGCCGCCGCTTCTATTGAAGGCATGGCAGCATGCTGAGCATGCTGCACCCCCCTGTGCTGGCGGGCACGCTTCTGTGGCCACATGTGCACACACCTTCACGCCGATTCGCTCCCTCTGCTGTTTCTCTTGACTACACTCACAGCCTTGTCTCTGCCCCTCACTTTCATTTTTCTGCCCATTGACCCTGTTTTCCCTTGTTGTATCTGCAATCACCCAGCCTTTTGAATTGCACCGCTCAGCTCCTCATTGCCTTTTGCCCTACAGCACTTTTGCAGCACCATCCCCCCATGCCATGATGCCAGTATTCTTTCGTGCCTTATTTTGGCTCTTAACGAGCATTGCCACCATCACTGTCGAACGGTCCGTTTCTGCCTGGCCGGGATGCGGCATGCTGTGGTCTGGGTGTCGTGGTGTGCGGTCGCTGTGCTGGCGGCGGCGCCTGGTCCCACAGCCAAGTCCCTGCCCCGGGGCCTGGATCTGCCAGCTCCTGTGTATGAGGTGATGAGACCCAGGGCCTGTCCGCCAGCCTGCTGCGTGCATCCATTCCCCACTCGTGCGGCGGTGCGCCGGCGCCGGCGCCTGCGCCTATAGTAGTCCCCGGGCACGGGAGGAAAGGAGGGAGGGCATCGAAGGTCAACGTGCGGCGCCCCCGCCAGAGCCCCCATTCCGCCCCAGCTCGGTCTCCTGTCGCCCTGCCACAGTCCCAGGCCTCCCTGCAACGCCCACCATCCTCCCCAGCGTGAACCACTCACACCACGATGACTTTCGCCGTGAACGCCATGCGCCTCAGCCACCCCTCCTGCAGCGCGGCAGCAGGTCGGTGGGGCATTTGTGGGCGCTGCAGCGTGCTGCCGGGCTGCGGTGCGGGCGAATGGCAGGGCTCGATGGCAACGGTGGTGGTTTGGCCCCCATGGCAGCGCCAGCTGACCTCTGCCAATCCTCACGCTGTCCCGTAGGCAATGCTAACGCTGTGCGTGCATCCCTGCGGCCGCTGGCCCGGACATCTGCGCGGCCTCACTTGGCCGCTTCCCTTTCAAAGCCTTTCGAAGCCTCCCTGTCAACCCCCGCGGACATCCAGGTGTGTGCCGCCACGCAGCTGCAGAGCCCCGGCAGGCCGCCGCCGCACCGCCGCCGCCGCCACTTGCCAGTCGCCCGCCTGCCGCCACTCGTCGACGCCTCCGCGCGACCGTCCACCAGCCTCGCCTGCCTGCCCCGCCTGCCTGCAGGCGCCCTCCACCTCCGCTTGCCCCTCTTCAAACAACATCGTGCCGGCCACCAAGGCCAACGAGCGCCTGGAACGGGCGCTCATCGCCAGCCCCATCGCGCTGCCCGCCACGGGCCGGTCGCAGCAGCCGCTGCTGCGCATGACCTCCCCGACCATCTACGCCCACGGCTGCGGCGACCAGATGTCGGCACCGGCACAGTTCAAGGATGTGAATGCCGACGTGGCGCCCTGGCTGATCGGTATGACCGATGGCGAGGTGGAGCAGGTGGGCTGCGCGCCTCGCTGCCGCTGCCGGCACGCAACGCAGCACCGTCGCTGATGCATCGACCGCCAGCCGTGCCTGCCACTCACCCCGCCTGTGCGCCCGCTCCCTGCTGCAGAAGATCATCCGCAACTTCCCGACCTTCACCCGCGACATCTTCGCCGCTGCGCGTGATATCGTCAGCACCCACCCCGCCACCGCCACCTCCATCATGGCCAACCTGCTGGACATGCACGGCCCCCTGCTCTCCTCCATCGCCCCTGGCGGCTCCAGTGCCGTCATCCTGATGCACAATGGAGTGGAGGCGGCGCTAGGTGAGCCACGGTGGCAGCCACGGGGTGCGGCTCACCTGGAGAGATTCCAAGCCCACCCGCCCCATTGGGGCCCCAGGCACACCCCATGCTCATTCTGCCGTGCCCGCTCCCCTCCCCTCCCCCTCCCTCCCTGCAGCACGTGCGGTCGCCCGCGCCCAGCAGCTGGCAGCCGCCGGCAAGCACCAGGCCGCCTGGAGCCTGGCTGCGCGCGCCTTTGACCTCCTGTCCCACCTGCGCTTCGGCAGCTTGGTGGTGGCGGCGCCCTTCATCGCCTTTTGGCAGGATCTCAAGACCCTCCTCTCCTGCCCCACCGCCGCCGCCACCGTCAGCCAGGAGGCGGTGGTGCAACTGCATGAGGCATGCGCCCGGGCCGACGACTGCCTGTGGGCGCAGCCCTGGTTTGGCCACAAGTTTGCGGCTGCCCAGGAGGCGTGCATTGCCAGCGGGTGGAGGACCGCGGAGGTGAGCCCAGCGCCTTGGCCTGCCTACCTGCCTGCCCGGCTGCCTGCCATCCTGCCTGCTGAGCAGCTGGCCACCAGCCCTATAGCAACAGCTGGCACCGACGCACCTGCCCCTCACCGCCTCCCCTTCTCCCTCCCTTGCTGCAGCTCGCGCTGCGCTTCACGGAAAGTTGGGCGGTGCTGGTGGCGCGCGGCCGCCTCACCCAGACCCCGGCCCGCTTCGAGGAGCTGCTGGGCGCAGTGCTGAGCCACCCCCTCACCGACGGCCAGCTGCGGCGCGTCGAGGCTGCCCCACGCCTGCTGCCCATCGACATGAGCCTGGGCGTGCGGCGCTGGGCCTGGGAGCCCGCCGCCCAGGAGCAGCGCCGCCGGCTGACCCTCGAGAGCGAGAAGCAGCGCCGCCAGCACACCACCTCCTCCCGTCGCCAGCAGCGGCAGGAGCGTCGTGCCGCCGCCGTAGTGGTGGAGGCCGAGGAGGAAGCCCTGGTGGCCGCCCTGGCACACTGAGCTGAAAATGTGCTCTGCCGCACCATTGGCCCACAGAATGACTTGATATTTACATAACCAAACAAAAAGAAACCCTGAGATGTTGTACAGCCCGCGTACATTGCGCTCTAATCCTTGACCCTGCACTGCCTATTGCCCTTCCCTCTATCTTGATTGTTGCCTAATTGTAGCGCGCCACGCGTGCGCCTAAGTTGCCCACCTGTTGCCCCCTTCCCTCTATTGTTGCCTAACTGTACTGCGCAACAAACACGCGCCCAACCTCCTCCCCGACTTCCTTGCCCGATTGTTACCTCCCTGGCAGCCTACTTGCCCTCCCCCTATTGTTTGCGCCGCATTGGTGCCGAGAGCCTTTCATGACCCCCTTGACATCCTTTTATGTGATGTGAGCCTGCCAGCCGCTCTGTACATGTACTCCCCTTTCCCCGCCCGCCCTCCCCTTGCCTTTTGCCGCCCGACGGCGGCGAGTGCCAACCGGGCAGCCACCTAGCCTTTCATATCGGCACATCAGTTGCTCTGCCGGCCCGATTTGGCTTTTTACAGCACCCCTGTAAACACTTCATGATTGGCATTGGAGCGGGGCTGCAAAGTCGAGGGTCGGCCGACATTTGGCGCCCTGCCAGAGTGGCGGTGCCCCCTGGTGGCGGCACTCACGGCCTCGTGAATTGTCGCCTTCTTGCGGCTTCCTCTGTCCCGCGATCGAATGATGATAGCCTGAGTCGCTCCGCCGCAGCCAATTGGTCTGCGCTGACCGTTCGGTTGCGCGCGCTGAAGCGGGGCGGCACAATGTCGAGCAGGTGGGGATCGCTCGGACTGGAGCTGCTGCCGCCAATGGGCCTGAAAGGGCCCGAGCTCCCGGTCCCAACCCTGCCGCGCTCCTCTTGGACTAGCGATGCGCGTTGGTGGCTGCCCGTAATCCGCCCTCTGCAGGCATTACGAGGAGCTGTGGCGGCAGGGCGTGGCGGAGCTGGTCAGCCACCTGGATGCCGAGCACCCAGAGGACCGGGCAGCGGCACCAAAGGTGGGGGGGTGGCGGCAGTAGGGTGCCGTCATGCTGGATTCTTACCAGCGCAAGCCTTAGACATGCATTGCCCCCTATTTCCTGCAGAAGCTGGCAGACTGGGGCCGCCTGTACATCAGCTACGTGCGCACGATGCACAAGCTGTGCACGGCGCACGACGGCGTGGCCCAGCCGCAGAAGCGGCGCTGCCTGCGGGCCACTTTGGAAGCGTGCATGGGGCGGGCGCTGGAGCTGCGTGCCTACCTGGCCACGCTGAATGGAGGGGTGGACGTTGTGGACCTGGGGCCGCAGCTGGCGGCGCTGGGCCTCACGCCAGACGCGCTGGAGCTGCCAGTCCCCGCATACTTTCGAGAGGCACGGGCCGAGCAGCTGGCAGCGCGCGGCGCGGCAGCAGCGGCGGCAGCAGCGGCGGCAGCAGTGCTGCCAGCCGCACAGGCAGCTGCGGATGCCGGCACAGGCGCTGGTGCTGCTGAGGATGCTGGGAGTCGGGGCCCTGCCCTTGGCGGTGCGGGCGCAGAGGAGCAAGGCGTCACAGAGGATGAGCAGCAGCCGGCGCCGGCAGCGCCAGACGCAGTTGTTGGTGCCGAAGCCATGGGCCAGGGGCCTGATTTGGAGGCGGTGCGGGGCACAGCGGGTGAGGCAGAGGACCTGCTCAGCCAGCAGCAGCGGGAGGCATGCAGCACGGACGAGGGCAACACGCGGCAGGGCGGCGCGCTGTGCGAGCGGCGGGAAGCGGCGGCGGTTGCGGTGCAGGCCGGCGTGCGGGGCTGGCTGGCACGGCGCAGCGTGGCACGCCAGCGCCGCGAGGAGCTCGAGTTCCTAGGCATGCTGGCTCCTTCGGACTGCGGGCGCAGCGCGGCATTGCAGCAGCGGGTGGCTGCCATTGCGAAGCAGCGCAAGGCACGGCAGGCGTCGCGGCAGCGGGAGCTGGACGATGCGCTGCTGAGCATCAAGGCGGCCGTGCGGCAGCAGGAGGGCTTTGCGATGAAGGATCAGATCAGGGACAAGGTGGGCTGGTGGGCCCTGTGGGGTCTCAATGCCTCACGGTGGGCCTGGGCACCCGGTGATGGCCAGCTGGGTGGATGGCGACAGGGCCGGTGCAGCAAAGCATGCCACAGGTTTGCAGGGATGCTGGCCCCTGCGGCGTGCATCTTCCCGAACAAAACCTGCCGAGGTCCTGCCGCCGTGCCATGCCCCTTGCAGCTGAACGACTGGTTCCTGAAGAGCCGGGACCCGGCAACTGGAGAGTATGCAGACCTGCCCGAGGCCGCCAAGGGCGGCAGCAGGGACCTTGTGTTGCCGCCGCCGCCCGAGCCGACCCCAGAGGAGGCTGCGGCTGCCGCCAAGGCTGCCCAAGCGGGGGCGGCGAGCGCTGGGCGAGGCAGCAGCGGCAGGGGTGCCAAGCAGGCCGCAGCGCCCAAGGTCACCCAGGAGTTTCTGCAGGGGCTGAAGGAGGCGGTACAGCTGTTCATGGATGTGTGGCAGCAGTACGAGCCCTCAGACCCCACGCTGGCGCTGCGTGAGCCACGCCGCACCCTGGCTGCCGCCGCTGCCTGGCGCTGCTGCCTGCTGCCTGAGCTGCCCTTTGCTTGGAGACTCATTGTGGCTGGTGCCGCCACGGCGTTGCTGCAGTGCCACCAGAGCTGCGGGGCCTGCCGCAGCCCAGGGGGGGCAGCGGGGCGGAGAGCTATGATGCAGACATGGTGACCGCTGAGGTACGCCTGCTCAGATGGCTGGCTGGCAGGTGGATGGATGTGGCGGCGGTGGTGCCGGCATGACAGCAGCATCCCGCGCACCGCACTCTTGCCCCGACACCCTGCCCTGGAGGCACACGCTACCTTTTACTTGACATGGTGCCGGCGTGCTGTGCCCGCTGTGGTCCCCCACAGGTGCGGCCGGTGGTGTTTGAGGAGGTGCGGCTGGAGGCGGATGACGACATGCGGCGCCTCATCCAGAACATCAAGGCGCGTCTTGATGGACGGCGCGCTGCCCCGAGAGCCTGAGCAGCAGAGCCCGCTTCCGTTGCCTGATCGCTGGCCTGCCCCTGCCTGTTGGACCCCAGCGTGATGCTGTGGCCTGTTGCCGATGGTTAGACCGCCTGCCACCCTGCTGCTGCTGCAGGAGATGCTCAAGGCTGGGAAGGCAGAGCGTGCCAAGAAGGAGGGGAAGGGGAAGAAGGGCGGCAAGGACGGCAAGAAGCAGGCGGCGGCAGCCGGTGGGAAACAGGCGGGCGCTGGCGCTGCGGCCAAGGGCGGCAAGCAGGGGGCGGCAGCAAAGGCTGGCGCTGCAGCAGCGGCAGCTGAGGAGCCGGTCAAGAAGAAGAAGAAAGATCCGACGGTGAGCTGATGCTGGCAAAGGAATATCACATGCTGGCTTGCCAGCTGCAGAGATGAAGACCTGGCGGGAGGGGCAAAGCAGTGCGAGCACAATGCACACCCTGTGCCATCCTGGTGCTGCCTGTCCTGCCTCGGCGTCCTGCCTGGATGCAGGCAGGGCGCAGCATTGAGTCTATATTTGCTGAGCTGGCGGCAGCGGGCCTGGTGCGGCTGCCCCCGCCCACCTGCGTGGCCGACTTTCTTGGCGGCGACAGGATGGCAGAGGAGGTGGCGGGAGGCGCCGCGCCGCAGCCAGCGCAGCCCAGCAAGCCCAAGGCTGGCGGCAAGAAGAACAACGCTTCTGCGCCTGGCCAGGCAGCCAAGGCGCCTGCTGGCAAGGCCAAGACAGCAGCAGGGGAGGATGAGTTCCAGCCCTACCCCGAGCACTCGTTGGCGCAGGGGCGGCAGGCGGTGGTGGCGTCGTGCGTGCTGCCGCTGGGCGCTCACCCTGCCCTCTCCAAGTGAGTGGCCACCGCTGCCAGGCTTGTCCTTGCCCAGCAGCTGCTTTGGCAAGCGGGGGGGGAGGCGCTGAGAAACAGCTGGTGCTGCAGGCTGAAGGCGCCACACACAGTGCTGCTGTACGGGCCCGCCGGCGCCGGCAAGACGATGCTGAGCATGGCAGCGGCACACCAGGCGGGTGCCACCCTGTTTGATCTCAGCCCCGGCACCACGGCTGGAAAGTTCCCGGGCAAGCAGGCCGCCATCATGGTGCATATGGTGAGTAGGGGTGGTAGAGCTGTGGGGGTAGGTGGGGTGGCACGAGGGTGCGTCACGAGGGTGCGAGCCTGCTTGAATGCTGGCTGACAGGAAGCAGCCCGGCGCTGCGTGTGGCAGCCATCACATCTTGCACCTCCCCAGCTCCAACGCCCCTGGTGTTCACAAGCTGCTCCGCACTGTGCCTGCGCCGGCGCCTTACGGAGCAGGTGTTCAAGGCGGCGCACGCTCTGGCGCCCTCGGTGGTGCTGGTGGAGGATGTGGATCATGTGTTCCTCACAGACAGGGCGCGGGCAGCGCTGGTGACGCCGCCCGGCGGGGAGCCGCCCAGCCGCATCAGGAAGGCGCTGGTGGCAGAGGTGAGGAGGGGGGCGGAGCTTGTGGCCCGTACGCCCCAGGGGGCTGCTGCTCTGGGCTGCTGGCAGTCCACTGGGCTGATGCTGTGGCAGAATACTTGCGTGGCATGCACGCCACCTTGATCAACCACATTGCTGGTTTGGGGCCTGGGTGCTTTGTTACTTGCAGGTGGCAGACCTGGAGCCTGGGGATGGGGTGCTGGTGCTGTGCACCAGCCGGCAGCCACAGGCGAGCTTGGGCCCCTCACAGTTGATGTTCTTGATCGATGCTGGCTGTCCAAACTGTGCCACTACCAGTTCTGCCGCTTGGGAGGGTTTCCTGCAGCAAAACAGGCTGAGTTGGCATGCGCTGCCGCCGGTGCCGGCCGTGCTCGCAGGCGTGTGTGAAGCGTGATGAGCGGGCGCTGCGCACTTTCATCCAGCGCTACATCCAGCTGCCGCTGCCAGACTATGGTGGCAGGCACGCCCTGCTGCAGAGCTTTGCCCAGGTGGGCTGGGTGGGGGTGGGCAGCAGCGGGCTCGTGGTTGCTTGATGGAAGCCTGAAACCGCACTCTTCCCTTGTCCGGTGGCTCTCACAAGCTCCTAAGCTGCCGCCGCTGCCCTGCTGCTGCAGCGTGACGAGCTGGTGCTTGGCGAGAGCACGGCGCTGCTTGCCCAGCTGACAGCGGGGCTGAGCAGCGGGCAGCTGCTGGAGGTGGTGCGCCAGCTGGCGGCCCGCCTGCGCCCTCCGCCAGGTCCTGATGGCCCCACCACCACAAACCCGCCAGTCAGCGGGCAGGCTGGGCAGGGCACGGTTCCACATGGTCGCAGGCGTGTGGCGCACCCCACGGCAGCCGCCATCAGCGATGCAGCACTGGAGCTGCTGCCCGCCTTTGCGCCGCTGAGCAAGCAGGAGGCGCAAGAGATCCGGGAGTGGACTGGTCAAGTCCATCAGCCGCTGCCGCCAGAGGTGTGGTGCATATGGCTGGGCTTGGTGGCATGCACGAGCAGCACTGCTATTCAGGCTAGAAGGTCTGCATGCCTGCCTGGCTCCTCCCCTGCTCCTGCAGCACCCAAAGGAAGCAGCCAACACAAAGAAGTGAGGCCCATGGAGCGGTGGCAGCAGCCTGCTGCTGCACTATCTGTTGGCGCTTGGCGAAGCGACGCGCTCGCTTACAATGGGGCACCCCTACCGGGTGTCGTGTCAGCTAAGCGTTGGTGCCATGGGGCGCAGTGAGCGAGGCACAATCAATGGGGCGGGGTCGCCGCCGCACGGCATGAAATTCTTTCGCAGTACCTGACCTAGGGAGTGTGGCGCGCGCAGAATTGAGTGCAGCAGGGAATTGGGGGACGGCGCAAGCGCCTTCAAGAGGAATGTTGGTGTTGTGGTGTTGGCAATAATCGCCGGCCAACAACGAATCAGCAGCTGACCATTCATTCAACAGAAAAGGTGGGAGGTGGGGTGGATTGGTTCCAACAGAGAACAGCAAGACACATAGTAAAACCGGGGACGGGGCTCAGCAGGGCAGATGGCAATGGGAAGGGAAGTGCGCCGACGTGGCGACAGCAAAAGGTGTGCTGCCGCTCAGTGTGGCAGTCAGGACGGGCCCCAACTTGAAGAGGGAGAGGGACGGAAGGGGACTGCAGTACTGGTGCTACAAACGAAGTAAGTGTGTGTCAGTATGGTACGAGCCGCAGCCTGGCTCAGAGCTTGCCGGCGCGCCTCATGAACTCAATCTGCTCAGCAGACAAGCCGGCCGGGGCGGGCGAGCTGCTGGCGCTGGTGCTGCGGCCGCGGGAGGGGGCAGGGGAGGAGCTGGTCTCGCGCTGCTTGCGCTCCAGGAAGGCGCGCTGCTCGGCAGACAGGCCGGCCGATGCAAGGGAGCTGCTGGCGCGAGCGGGGGCCGCGCTGCGGCCGCGGGTGGGCGCCGGGGACGCGCTGACCTGCCTCTTGCGCTCCAGGAATGCCTGCTGCTCAGGGGACAGGCCCCTGGGAGCCGCGCTGCTGAAGCTGCTGACGGCGGCAGGCGCTGGGGACGCGGTGACCTGCCTCTTGCGCTCCAGGAATGCCTGCTGCTCGGGCGACAGGCCCCTGGGAGCCGCGCTGCTGGCAGGTGCGGCGCTGCGGCCACGGGTGGGCGCAGGGCTGCGGCCGCGAGAGGGCGCCGGCGCGGGGGATGCGCTGACCTGCCGCTTGCGCTCCAGGAACGCCTGCTGCTCCGGGGTGAGCCCAGCAGCAGTGGTGGTGGCGGGAGTGTAGGTTGGGCTGCGGCCGCGGGAGGGGGCAGGGGAGGAGCTGGTCTCGCGCTGCTTGCGCTCCAGGAAGGCGCGCTGCTCGGCAGACAGGCCGGCCGATGCGGGGGAGCTGCTGGCACGGACTGGGGTCGGGCTGCGGCCGCGGGTGGGCGCGGGGCTGCGGCCGCGGGTGGGCGCGGGGCTGCGGCCGCGGGTGGGCGCGGGGCTGCGGCCCCGGGCTGGCGTCGGCGGCGGCGTGGCGCTGGCCTCGCGGCGCTTGCGCTCCAGGAACTCCTGCTGCTCAGGAGACAGGCCCACCGCCGCCGGCGCGGCGCCGTTGAGGCGGGCGGGCATGGTGGACGCGCCCCGCGCCTCGGCTGCCTTGCGCTCCAGGAATGCGCGCTGCTCGGGGGACAGGCCGGCGCCGCCCACGGGCGCGGGGGAGCGGCCCCGGCTCTCCCAGCCGTTGACCTGCACCAGGGGCGAGGCGGAAGGGAGGCCGAGCACGGTCGGTTGACGGCACGCCAGGCAGGCAGGGGGGCGGCAGCCTAGCTAGGTACTGCCGGCCTGCCTGCCTCCTGCCTACGTGCCGCGCCCTTGCCCTCTCACCTTGTGGCTGCCGCCGTTGACGGCCGCGCCCGCCATCGCGGGGACAGCCACATGGGCGGTGGCCTCAGCCTGGGCGATGATGTCGCTGACGGCTGCCTCCGCAGCGGCAGAGAGCTTCACCTTGCCATTGACGGACCCGTTGGCGGCGGAGCCGGTGTAGGACAGGCTGCGGGCGGGAGGGAGGGCCGGGCCGGGGCAGGAGGCAGAAGGCCAGGTCAGCAGGGTGCGCGGCACATGCTGCAGCTGGGTGGCCGGGTGCTGGCGCGCCCCCGACCAGGCGTCGCAAAAGAGGCAACAAGGTGCAGGCCGGCGCTGCTGCCGTGCACATGCAGGCCGCGGCCGCGCCGCTGGACCCGCGCGCACCCACCCGTTGTCGGCGTAGGTGGAGGCGGCGGCGGCGGCGTCAGCCTGATACGCCTCCTCCTCAATCGGCTGGTTCCAGTAGCCGTAGAGCTCGGTGTTGCGCGCGTCCACAGTGAGCTTGCGGTTCCAGCAGGACTCCCACATCGGCTCGCTGCTAGCGGGCGCGGGGGAGGGCGCGGTGGGGGGAGGCGCCCGTCAGCACCGGTTCACACATACACGCGCGCATGCGCACGGCGCATGCACGAGCGGCAGGGCGTGGCGAAGGGGGCATGGGAGGCAGGGTGGCAGGCGCTGGGCTGCGCCGCTCTGCGCGCCGCCTCCGCCCCCACTCACTGGTTCTTGTCCTCGATCACAAACTTGTACTCCAGGGTGGCGCCCGCCGGCAGGCTGACGGTGGCGGTCCAGTGGTGCTCGCCGTTGTGGCCCTCGCTCCACTCCATGCGCGGCGCTCGCCCCAGGTCCCAGCCCCCCAGCTCCTCCGCGTCGCCCGTCAGCACCACCGACTGGCCGAAGCACACCCTGCGGGCGGGGCAGGCGGGGGCGGCGCGGTCGGGTGGCGGCGGCTGGGGCAGCAGGGCTGTGGAAGCTGCGCTGGGCGGCGGCGAGCGCTGGTGGGGGGACAAGGAAGGGCCCTGGCAATAGGCCATGGCCGCGCCATGCCCAGCAGGGTTCCAATTGGGCATTTCTGTGCCACCAGGGCTGCCCCAAGCACATGCAACGGCGGGAGGCCCTAGGGAGGCCGGCGGGGACGGGGCGCCAACACTACCACCGACTACCACCGCCGCGCTCGCTGAGTTTGAACCCTCCCCGCGCAATTCACTCACTTCCTCTGCAGGGTGAACGTCACATCGACATTCCCGCCCCCGTAGGCCCGAATGGCGCTGCGCGGGGGGCCTGCCTGCCTCAGGGGCCTGGGCTGTCTCATGGCGGAGGGGATAACGGGCCGGCCCAGGCTGCGTGGAACAGCCCGGGCGGTGGCGCAGGGTGCCTTGAGCGCAAAGGTGCTCCTCATGGCTGCGGAATGCGCGTCGCTGGCTGCAAGCGGCTGCACGGGCGAGGTGCAAGCGGTTCGGGCTGCAAGCCTGCTCGGGGCCCACAAATGTGCCGATTGCAGCAGGCAAGACAATGGGGAGGCAGAAGTCCACCCAGGCTGATGGTGAGCGTGTCATGCTGTGCTCGTGTCATGCTGTGGCGAGAGATGCCAGCCACATGTGCAGCCAGGGCCCGGGAGGTCTGTCGGCGGCTTGCAGACACACCCGGGGCCGAAAAACGGTCAGCACGCACGCCGGTCCGCTAGAGTGCTCTCCTTCGTCAACACCTCAACCCGAAGCCACTGCAGCCGCCTCAAGCCACTTCACATCACAGTCTCCTCATTGGGTTTCCCTTGATCAAGCGGGGGTGATGAACGCACTCCTGGCCATGTGGTACTGGTGGCGCTGCTTGGGGCATGCAACCACTGACGCAAAGCAGCCGCTGCCACTGACGACAGTGGCTGCCTGGCGCCTGGCACAAGGAGGCATGCAGCCACAGGGCTCCGGAACTGACATGTGCACTGCACGACACCGCCCGCCCAGCTGTTGACATCAGGTGCCTTGCACACGGGTTGCTGTCGCAGCCCCTCGACACCGCCACATGTCGTGCCTTTGCTTGTTGACAGGAGGGCGTGCAGGGTGCTGGAAACATTTCATCAATCTGGTAGGCGACATGGGTTCATTCTGATCTAGAAAACTAGGGCTAAGCTGGGAACCTGAGGGGTTTCAAGAGAGCGAAACAGACCGAGACGGAGTGGGATGTGGAGAGCCAGCAAAGGAACTGAGGGCTGCCCAATCAGGGCAGCCAGATGCAAACTAAAACAAGCTTGGCATAGCATACACATGAGGAGCAAGGGGCTGGGGGGCTGGGACCTCACTCCTTCTTGGTGGCGTTGGCCTTTGGCCGGCGCCGCCGGCCGCCCTTGGCCGCGGCCTTGCCCTGCTGTGGGTACGAGGGGCAAAATGACGGACATGAAGAGGCGTCGGCAGCACAACATCAAGCGATTTGAGCAAACCCAGTCGCTCACGCCGTCGTCGCAAGGCTGTTGAGAGGGGTGAGGGGCCGGCCTGCCCCAGCGCAGTGACCCACCGCGCCCGCTCACCTTGATGATGCCCCCCGCGACGGATGCGGCGGCGGCCCCCAGCTTCTCCACCGCCCCGGCCACCATCCCAGTCCCGCCGTCGGCCTGCACAATGATGTCGTTAACGGCGGCCTCCGCCTCGGCCGAAATCTTGATCTCCTTGGCCGCCTGCTGCTTGGGCGCAGCGCCCGCCTTGGCGGCGGCGGCCGCCGGCTTGGCCGCCGCGGCGGCCTTGGCGACCGGGGCGGCGCTGGCGATGCTGGCAGCAACAGGCTGCTTCAGCTCGGGTGCAGCAATGGTAACTGGCTGGGCTGGCACCTCCACAGGCCTGCAGGCGGGTGGGTCGGGCAACAGGCCGGCAGCGGGTCAGCCAGGCGCATGGTGTGGGAGGCGCAGCGCGGCTGCAATGTGGGCAGAGCGCCAGAGCTGCCGCTGTCCTCCCTCACTGGCACCACCCCCAGGGTCAACTCAGAGGCTGGCCGAGCATGTTTGTTGCAGCGGCACGCACCTGGGGGGCGGGACGGCGGCAGCCACCAGGGGCTCCTCCCGGGACCCGTACAGGGTGGCGGCGGCATCCTCCACAGCCAGGGAGCGGTTGAGACACGACTCCCACAGGGGTGGCCTGCGGCGCAGCAGGCAGGGGGGAGGGCGGCGGCGATGGGCATGGCAGGCGGGCACGCGCGGGTGCACACAGGCACAGACAGCTGCACACAGCCACAAACGTAGGAGGCACGCCCCAAGGGCCTGCCCGCCCCACATGCTTGCATCGCCCAGTTTCGACCAGCAGCGCTGCCAGCTGCCCGACCGCAAGCAGCGGGCGGGCGGCGCGCTCACTGCTCGGGGTCGGTGATCACAAACTTGTACTCGACGGCGGCGCCGGCGGGCAGCGCCACGGTGGTGCTCCACTTGTGCTCCTCGCTCCAGCGCAGGGGCAGGCCGGCGTCCAGCTTCCAGGCGCCCAGCTCCTGGGAGGAGCCCACCAGCAGCACGCGCTGGCCGTAATACGTCTGCAGCAAGGGTGGGCAAGCGGCGGAGCTGGGTGAGCTTGCAAGGAAGCGAGCGCTGGACACGGAGGGTGGCCCGGGGCGGCGGCGTTGTGCAGTACTGCATGCCTGCTGCTCAGGATGCGGCGACTGGGCCCGCTGGTGCACAGAGGGGGCCTGTATCGCCCAGCTCAGCAGCACAGCCGCAGGACCGCCTGGGGCGGCGACGCTGCAATTTGAACGGTGAGGGCCCGACCCGCACCTCCTTCTTCAGGATGAAGCTGACGGCGACCGAGCCCGCAGGGACCTCGACGGCCTGCGTGGGGCGGCGGCTGGGAGCTGCCCAACGACCACCCTGCCACACACTCATGGGGGTTGGGGCAGCACCCTGCGCCGGGGTTGGCGTCGTGCTGCTGGCGCCGGCGGTGCAGCGCACAGGGCGGTGCGCAGCCCTGGCGGGGTGCACAGGGGCGGTGCGGGCTGCCAGAGTCGCGATCATCTTAGTGACTGTGGGGCTGCCTGCCGAAGTGATGATCTGGTTTGAAACCGAGGAATCGAGGGCAAGGTGCTGCTAGGACTCTGCTTGTGGATCCAACGCTGATCAATCTGTTGGGCACAAAGTGATTCAGAGGTCGCTGAAGGGTTTAACTTTTGACTTTCGTGCCACAGTGGCGGCGCGGCGTGCCAAGCGTGATGCGGCGCACAACATCCCTTAATAAACCACCAGAGCAACGCCAGGATCACAGACCTGGTTTCTATGGTCTTCACACCAGCCCTGACTAGCACTTTGAAGGACAGGTCACGCCTCAGACCTTGTTGCCGCGGCACAGGCACATGTCGACTGGTTGGAGGAGGAAGGAGGAGGTGGCACGGGTGTCTGACAGCTGAATCGGGAGCAGATGGGTGCCCAGGGGACAGCTGCAATGCGTGCTGGATCCAGATCGGTCGGGAACCCTCCTTGAGCTGTCTGCGGCCAGCTGGACCCAGCTGGAAAGTCGGCTCGCCTGCGCGCAAACACACGCAGCATCACGCCCAGCCGCATTGCATTGCATCGTGAGGCAGTAAGAACGGCACCTGAGCGTGGTTGTGGAACACACGCACACAATGTCGCTCCTCGGTGAGTGAGAACTCATAGTGGGGTGTCCTGCTCGGCCCCAATCGAGCTGCTGGCCAGTTCTGAGGCCCTCTGTGCGGGCTGTGCAGGGTCGGCCTCCTACCAGCGATCGCCGCCGCTGCCCGCCGCCGTCGCCGCCAGCCGGCACGGTGGGCTGGCAGCAGCCCTGCAGAAGCGTCTTGGCAGCCGTGCAGCCGTGCAGCACCGCCCCAGCAGCACGAGCAGGGCGCAGCTGCTCCCTGCCGCTGTAGCGGCGGGAGCGCAGGCTGCGCAGCAGCAGCAGCAGCAGCAGCCGCCCAGGCACAGCCGCCTAAAGGATCCCGCCAAGCTGTCAGCCTCCATGCAAGCGTCCGTCCCTGTTCCGGTAGGCTTGACTCAGCAGAGTCCTTTCCGCTGCTCACAGGCAGCAGTATCACAGCAGAATGTGCATGTGAACCGTTGCTGCTGCCACGCTGTGCCCGCCGCCCCTGCAGGACCGCGGCGGCGCCATCTCGCTGGACAAGTACATGCGCCTGCCGCCGGAGCAGTACAACGAGCTGGACCCGGCGATGATCAAGGCGCTGGGAGGCAGCTCGTTCCTGCTCAAAGTGCCCAGGATGACGGTGCGTGGGAGGGGGCGCCATCGGTGCACCGCGCTGCCCCAGCTCACCTCATGCGGGGCTGCTCCCGGCGTCTTCGCCCTGGTGGCGGCTTGGCTCGCGGAGTCAACGCCACCCTGCCCCTGCTCCGCCGCGCCTTGCAGTTGTTCAACGTGTGGGTGGAGCCAGAGGTGGTTGTGTCTGTGCGGGTGGCTGACGGCTCGCCGGGGGTCATCTTTGAGGCCGGCGAGTGCACGTGAGGGGCCAGGCCGCTAGCTTCATCTCTCCCTCTCTCTTTGGCTTGTTGCGCCAGCCGCGCCATGTGCCCTCACCGCTGCCGCACCCTGTGGCCGACACCCGCTGCCTGGCCTGGCCCCGCAGGCTGCGTGGCAGCGACCTGCTGAACCAGCTGGGCTTGGACCGCCGCTTTGTGCTCTACTTCCACACCATGCTGACATGGCAGCCGGGGAGCAAGGCGGCATCCATGCCTGGCGCAGCACCAAGCAGCAGCAGCGCTCTCAGCAATGGCAGCGGCATGGGCGCCATCCACGCCAAGGCTGACGTGCAAGTGTGGACCGAGGTGGTCGGCATGTTCCAGGCCATCCCCCGCCCCATTCTGGAGGCAAGGCCTGCTGCCGGGGCCCTTCTTTCTTGACACCTCAGCGCCAGGTCGCTACGCATACACTGAGCCCTTTCCTGCGCCGCCTGTTGTGCTGCAGGGCACCGGCAACACGGTGGTGGGCGCGCTGCTGCAGGCGCTGCTGCCCATCTTCATGAACCTCCTGGCCGAAGACTACAAGCGGTGGTCCACAGATGCGGCATACAGGGCGCGCCGCGCGGCCGCGCCCCGGCAGGCGGCGCCGTTGCCCTAGCAGCAGCTGCAGCGTTGTTGCACACGTCAATTGCCAATTGTTTCTTCCTGCAGCTCTCAGCTATCACCCATTCTTTGTACACTCAATCACTCAACGAGCTTCCATTCAGCGCATTCAGTCCTGCCAAGAGCTTCATCTCCTCTCAACATCAATCTCAAACAAACAATCCCGTCAACAACAGTTTTTCGCTGCCAAGCCTCTCTGAAATTGGCCCGCACTGACCAGCCTGCATTTCCTGCTTGCAAGAGTGTTGCAACAAGTAGCGCCAGAAAGCAAACCAAGTAGCGAATGAATCACATGTAATGCACAGCATCGGTGTGGTGGTTGCAAAGATGGGGGGGGGGGGGGGGGAGGACAGCGCAGCGAAGAGAGCGAGCAAAAGAGGATGGAACTTGGATGCAAGGAGTGAACAAAATGAAGAAAATCAGGTCTCTGCGATGCCACATGCTCACAGACCTGGGTTGATGAAGTTGCGGGCTGCCAGCAGCGCTGCTCCGCCCACCGTGCCCACCACCGCCGCCGCCGCCGCCTGGCGCGGGCCGCGCACGGAGCGGTACAGCGCACCGGTTGCCGCGCCGGCAATCAGCGTGTTGGCCTGGTCGGGCACCTGGCCGTTTGTCATGTAGCCGGAGAAGCTCTCAAAGGAGGCAAACAGCAGGCCCAGCACGCCCAGCGAGTTGCCTGCAGCAGGCGGCAGGCACGGCACGTGATGCAGATGAAAAAAGGGCTGGCATGCAGCAATGTCGGTAAAGCAGCAGGAGATGCAAAATTGCAGCCCCCTCCCGCCTCCCCGCATGCTGGCTCGCACAGAAATTGCCGGCGGAGCAGAGCGCACGCACCTGCGGTGCGCCCCATCTTGCCGCTGGTGTTGAGCAGCTGGTTGATGCGCAGCCGCTGGCTGGACTCCACCCCCGCCAGCGCCACAGGCGCCGACACCGCCTGCACCGCGCCCTTGCCGCCGCCCAGTATCGCGCCTGCACAGCAGAGGGGCCCCAGGGTGGCGGGGTTGGAGGCCGGGGTACTCCACACCATACGGGCCCCACCGCCTCCTGCTGGCTCCCCACCCTCGCGTGCGTCTCGCCTGCTGCCTGCTGGCCGCTGGCCCCACACTTCCCCCACACACCTTCATCCCAAACACTCCCACCCATGCCAGCCCGCCCACCTGCCAGGTAGCCCAGCCCTGTGTAGTATGTGAGGTTCTCGCTCCAGCTGCGCTTGTGCACCAGCGCCTCCTCGGTGAACAGGAACTCGGGCTGCTTGGAGACGCGGAAGGAGCCGCGCACCTCGCGCCGGTCCAGCGCCGCGCCCAATCCTGCAACGACAGGCGATGCGGGCCGGGGCGACTCAGGAGCAGGCGGGTGGGCGCAGCACAGCACAGTGCAGCTGGCGGCGGCGGCGGCGGCGGCGGCAGGGTCTGTACCCCGCCAAGGGGCCGCGCCTGTAGCGCGCTGGCATGCTGATCGAACCCAGCATCGCGGCAAGTGTAGGGTTTGCTGTTCCTGGGCGGGCAGGAGGCCGCATGCGCTCACCCTCGTAGGGGTTGTACAACTGGTCGCTTGGAGCGACTCCAAACGTCTTCTGAAAGGTCTGTTGCCGCGCGCTGGCCCCGGGGCCGGCTGCGGGGCCCTCTGTGAGGTCTAGCGATGGGCTTACTTGAGCGGCGGCCTCTGCTGAGGACACCTCGGCTGCAGCATCCTCCCGCTTGCCGCGCAGCCTGTCGAAAATGCCCATGGTTTGAGGGAGACGGGGATGTGAGGGCTGCTTCACGGGGTAGCAGCAAGGTTGATTGGCGGCCTGTGGTTCAATGCAAGTGGCAGAGATCAGGAGACGGCAACGAGCAGGCGCCCTGCACGCTCAGCGCCCTGCGACCTTTCCACCCAGCCGCCGCCGCCATCATCGCCTGCTGCCACTGTGGTGGCAGGGTTGGTTCCTCTTGTTGGCAGGCGCTATGTAGGTTACACATTTGCAGTGTCGGCTTTTATCATGGCATGGAAACCCATCACAGCAGCACATACTGCAGGCAAACACATTTGCCAGCGGTTTCCACATCCAAATGCTCAGAAGCAAAATGGTTTCCGCATCGAGAATGTCGGCATGCATCACATCTCAATGAAAGAATGAAACTGCAGGGTCTAATAAAAGGTAAAATCGATTAGAGTTGCAAAAGTCAGTGCTCAATTTGCAAAGGCTGACGAGAGCGCTCTCGTCGGCAGCGCTCTCGTCGGCAGCACTCTCGTCTCAGCGGGCTCGTACACCATCGCGGTGCTGCTCTGTCTCGCTCGGGGCGCACCGCCTTGCTCAGCCAGCGGCCTGCATGCCGTAGATGTGCATGGCTTCAGGCAGCACCTGCAGCAGCGCCTCGGAGATCTTGGGGCAGTTGGGCCAGCGGTAGGTGCCATACTTGGTCATGTCGCTGCTGGTGATGGCGTGCAGCGCCGCTGCAGGGCGCAACCCAGCCAGGCAGGGCGGGCAACTTGCTGTTTGTTGAAGGTGATGCAGGGAGAGGCATGCGGGTGCTGGACAGGCGAGAAGTGCGCAGCTGCCGCACTGCTACAGAGTGGCTGCTCCACTCCACCAGCCCCTAGCCAATCTCAACCTGCAGCAATGCTGCGCACCTTCGCTGCTCCTCTTAACCGTGGTCTGCAGCCCCGCCGCCACCTGCTCAATGGGCGTGCCCTCCCGCACCCAGCGTGCAGCATACTCCCGTGGGTCACGGCCACACCTGTAGCAGGGGCCAGGGGCAGACCACATGCACACGCTCGGCACAGCAGGGGCACCAAGCAAGGCTGACACCCAGACAGCCAGGCGGCCATGCAAGCAGCATGCAGCCAGGATGCACGGGCAAAGTGCATCCTCCCGAGACACCACAGCGAATGATGCTCCTCACTTGGCCAGGAGCAGGCAGGCCACTTTCTCGGCCTCCAGCTCCCGCAGAATGTTGAAAGACAGCTCCCCGTCAGAGGAGTCGCGGCTGCATGGCAGGGGCGGGGCGTGATGGGGCAGCGCAAGGATGGACCTCACATCTTAACTCACGTCTACATGGCATGCAAAGTACAGAAGAGGGCAGCTCACCAGTACTTCACTTCAGACACCGGGAAGCGCGCCCAGCGGGCCAGCACAGCATCCAGCAGCAGCCTGGCTGCACCCAGCCCCCAGCCGTCGGGTGCAGCGCCGGTGGCGGCGCCCAGCAGCAGTCTGGCGCAGGTGTCAAATCCGGCGTATCCGGCTGCCTCCAGCAGCTGCATGGGTGTCAGGGTTTGCTGCTGGCTTCAGCACTGCACCTGGTGGGCGCTCAGCATGCCGGAGCAGCAGAGGCGTGTGCGCTGGCAAGTGCTGGTGGCATGGATGGGCGCCAAAGCAGTGCAGGCAGGCTCAAGCCTGCAGATGATCCCCTCCCTTCCCACCTGCAGAGGCCCCAGCCGCCCATAGCCATCCGTGGCACGAGCTGCCGACTCTTCTGGGTGGCGGCACACGGTGTGGGCAAACTCGTGGCAGAGCGTCCCCCACAGCCCTGCCTCCCCATGCTCCTGGCCCTCGTGGGAGCTGCAAGGGCAGGGAGGAGGCACGACAGCGAGGTTGGCTCTGGCCAGCCAACAACAGTGCAGCTCAACAGCAGGTGGGCGAGGTGATGGCAGCTGGACAGTCACTGAAGAAAGCTTGACGGAACAGCATGACAGTGAGCAGCTGCCTCACCTCACAGCAATGAGTTCATGCGACAGCACGGCAGGCGGCTGGCCAAACTGCCACTCAAACACCTTGACGGCAGGCTGGCGCTGGCCGCCCTCCCCAAACAGGCGGTCAAAGAGGGTAGCGGTGGCGGAGTCGGGGGCATGCCTCTCATGCACCAGCTGCCTGGCCGCCGCCAGCACAGACTGGCCCAGGCTGGCGGCATGCTGGGAGACGTGGGAAGCGGGCGGGGAGAACACGTAGCCGCGCCTGCCCAGGTCTGCAGGCAAGGATCGGAGCGGAGGGCGGGTGTTGTGTGGGTGTGGGTTTACTGTATGGGGTGGTGGCTGCTGGAGCAGCGGTTCCGCCAGGCAGGGAATGCTGCTGCTGAGCGCCTCACCTGCCAGCTCGTCCTTCAGAGCGTCAGTGGTCGGTGTGGCCGGGGCGTTGATGGCCACCCTCCAGCGCCGGCGCCCCGTCAGGGGCACCACCTCCACCGCCGAGCTGCACAGCAGGCCACACAGCTGCTGCTGTTGACCGAGGGAGCACTCCAAGGGCCACCAACCGCCACCAGAAGCAGAAGCAGCGCCAGCAGAAGCAGCGGTGGGCGCTGTGCACACACGGTGCTTGGGCTTGCCTGAACAGCCCGAGGCAGTCGGTGGCCAGCCAGGCGCCGGCAGCGTGGCCAGCCAGGATGAGGAGCATGTCCAGCAGCGGGTTGGGCGGGTTGATGGCGGCAGCTAAGGAGGCGGGCTTGGCAGCCGGCATCAGCTCGGCGCTGACCGCCGGGACTTTGACAGCATTGCCTGGAGAGCTGCCATCCACTGCGGCAGCGAGGACAAGGGCACAAGGGCTGGAAGCGTGGTCGGTGGTATGGGCAGGTGGGGGGTGGAGAGGTATGCGTGCAGCGCCAGTCGGGCACTGCGCTGAGAGCCAGCGAAGCGGTTTGTAAGGGGGCCTGGCAGCAGGGCAGGTCGAAGAAGTGATGGGCAGGGGCAGCCCATTCCTCGCCTGTGGCGTGCCGGCCCCGCCAGTACTTGACAGCCTGGCAGGCGCCCACCACGCCCGCCACGGTAGCCAGGATGGCGCGGCCCTCCGAGTCGGAGGCCAGCCTGGAGACGGCATGGAAGGCCACCCTGCTTGCAACGCTGGCCAGGGCGGCGTCTGCAAAGGTGCCGCAGGCCCTGCGGGGCACAGAGGAAGCCGAGGCAACATCAAGGGTGCTGGGTGCGGCGGGGAGGGGCGGGGAGACGGGTGGCCACTCACAGCAGCCGCCACCTCGACGAGGAACGGACGTAGCCGCTGCTTTACTCTCCATCCCACCTGACCAGCCTGCGCAGGGGCCTCCACTCTATGCTCCCAGGCGCCCACACAAGCGCCATGTAGCTCGGGCTCCTCGAGATCAAGCTGTCGCAGCTATGTCAAACCCTCTCGAACGATAGCTGTGATCCAGAAATGCAGTTGCGTTCCAGCGGCGGCGGCAAAGCCCGCGAATAGAGAGCTCAGGGGCTGCTTTCCACCCGCCCGCCGCGCAGTCGCCTCGACGGTTCCCTCCAGGCCAGGTGTTTTCTAAACTTAGCTGGCACTGCCATCACCGAGGAGTGGCCTCTTTGTGTTCAAATCCACTGCAATGAACTCGCATCACACAGTGGTCGGCTGAACAACCGATCTTCAGAAAAGGCGGTTCCGCCGAGCGCGGTAGTACCAAGCCGCCGACACCAGCGGCACGCGGCATTACACAGACGTCCGAACCCCTCCCGCTCAACAGATCATGTTCAGCAAGAATCGATTCAGCTCCTGGTACACATAGCCCAGAAAATGCAGGTCGTCCACCCATGGCGGCGGGTCCAGCGCCGCCGCCGCCCGCGTCAGCGCCCACGCGTCCATCACCCCCAAGCCGTGGGCGGCGGCATGCTGCAGCGCGGGGTCGTCCCAGGTGCGCGGTATGCGGCCGTCCAGCGCGAAGGTGGTCGTCTTCCAGATGCAGGTGCCGCCCTGGGGGCGCACGGCATCCACCGCGGCGCCCATGATGGCTTCATACACCTCGGCCGGCCAGTTCTCGCCGCCGGGGCTGCGCCACAGCCCCGAGTTGAAGACAATGGTGGCTGGGTGGAGCCGGGCGACGACCTGGAGGCAATGAACGGGCCACCCAGTCCAGCACAGGGAGGCAGTTAGCACAGGGAGGCGGTTAGCCTCGTGGGTGCTGCAGTCCTGGTTCGCATCATGCATGATGCCCACAAAACCAGGGGCTTCCTTCTCGCTTCTGCCACCTGCCCCTCAAGCGTTGCACAACTGGCCCGCTGCGCACCACCGCTGGCTCCCACACCAAAACAGTAGCAGCCCCCACCTGGCGCAGCCCCTCGTCCAGCGGGAGAGACCAGTCTGGGTCGCCGCCGCAGTCGCCTGGGGCGCAGCGGGTGGCGTTGCCGAAGGGCGGGAAGCCCCAGCGCCCAATCAGCGGCTTGAGCGGGTAGCCAAACCACATGTAGAACGAGGCGGATGCGGTGCTGGTGAGCGCATAGAACCGATCCTCGCGGATGTCCCAGCCATCCCTGAAGCAGTGGCACTGCTGGCGTCCATTGAAGGGGTCGGTGGTGCCTGCAAGCGGGCAGGCCACGGCGGCAGGGCGGGAGTGGGCTGATGCTGGCAGCTAGCTGCCGCCAGCCAGGACCGGCGCAGCCGCAGCAATGTGATCCGGCATGCGAAGCGGCAGGAGATTGGCCATAGGGGGTGTATGGCTCACCTCTGAAGAAGTCGGCCCAGCCGTGCTGCCACTCGCTCTCAATCATGGGGCTGGGGTGGTCTGGCGTGCCGTGCATGGGTGGCGGCCACTCGCCGCTGTCCAGCCAGTAGATGAGGCTGAGGAACTGGTAGCGTGTGACAGAGTCGCCAATCATGACCAGTGGCCGCCGCGAGAGGCACTCCTTGGCCTCGGGGGGGGTGAACTGACGCAGCACGCAGCGCTGGAGCTGGAGCTGTGGCAGCTGTGGGGCGGAGCTGCGCTGCAAGCGGCGGCGCCAGCCCGTGCGGGGAGGCGGCGGCGGCGTGCCCCAGGATACCGTATCGTTGGCCATCAGCCCCCGTAGCAGGGCCGCACTGCATTCTGGCGCTCCGTCGCCCACCTGCCCCGGCAGGGTGAAGAAGGCCAGGACTCCGGCCAGCAACAACGTCGTCACCACCAAAAGAGCGCCCTGGTGCGTGGCCGTCTGTGAATCTACTCCAGGCTTCAGTGGGTCCCGATCGGAAGCGGGGGAGTCCAGCTCCCCGCGATCGCCGAGTTGTGGCATGGCGATTGGCGCGGTGGGGGCTGCCCACAGACTGTGTTGCTTAGAGAGCTGCACAATCTCAAGGCAGTGGCCGGGGACATGAATGTGGCCCAGGCTGCAAAGGTGAGAGAGATTACCAGACTCCACTCCACGTGGCAGGTATGACATAAGCATTCACTGAGAGGCCTGGAGATCCTATTCCTCTGCATTGAGCATCCAACACTCTCCGATGGCAGTGGGGGCGTCAACCCAGAGATCACAAAGGAAGCCGCCCCCCCACGGCGTGCGGCCGCCCCCGTCTGACTGGCGTGTCTGACTGGATCTGGATGCGGTGTGGGAGGCAGGCCTGCAGGGCCAGCTGGAGCGCGGCATCATTTGTGGCGGCAGGTGAGGTGGGTGATGGCCGCCGTCAACTGTGACTGCTTGCCCGCTGGACTGCCCCTCACTGCAAGTGATTACGTTTCGCCTGCTTTTGCCCAATCCTGCCCCTCATCTGTGACATATAGGCCATATGTTACAATATCTTTTAATCCGAGAAATCGAATGGTGAAAAGGAATGTAGCTTGACAAGTGGGAGCATGGCGTCGCGCTAGGGACGGCGGCTTCATACTTTGGGACATCAGATTTTGTTGCTTGCTCTCAACAACGAGGAAGGGTGGCCGGCCCGTGCGAGGCGGTACACTCAAGCAAGGAGAGCACACGCTGACAAGTGCAGCAGTGGGCAAGTGCTAGCATTGGGGAGTGAAAGGACATGTGATGTTGTGGTCTCAAGCAATCATCTCTGGGTGGGCTCAGGACGGTGTGTGGAGTGTAGTTATCGACGTGGTGCGGTGCCAGCTAGCCGCAGACAAGGGTGTGCCAGCTGGGCTCGCCTTGCTCAAATCTTGCACTCGCTGCCGCCATCCACATACACGTGCTCATCATCGTCCAGGGCAAACAGCTCGCCAGAACGCATCGTGATGGGCTGGCTGGCGGCCGCAGGCCTGGCGCCCTCCGGCGCTGCCCCTCCGTTCAGCCTGCAGGCACGCGCGGGCAGGGCGTGTCAGGGACTGGCTGTCCTCTGGGTCAGAAGGAAGCCAACTTTCCAGTGGCAGCAGGGCAGGGCCGCCGTCGGCAGAGGCTGGCGTGCGGCGGGACGCACGAGAGGGAGTTGCGCCAGCGGCGGTACCGCACAGCCAGCTTGTCGTACGACACCGGGTGGCGCCAGGTGTCGCCGCCCCGCAGCAGGCGGTCCTGCTGCCCCAGCACGAGCACCAGGTCCTCGCCCAGCACCTGCGGGACGGAGGAGGGGCGGAGAAGTGTGCATGCGGGGGAGCAGCTTGGCCCTGCGACACACACACGCCGGGCACCCTCCCAGCCCGTGCCCCCGCGCCCCTCCTCACCTGCCCCGCGATGTAGCGCCAGAAGTGCTGGATGCCGGGCAGCAGCTCTGTCCACCACAGGAAGTCGGTGGCCATGCGGTACAGCAGGCGGGTGTGGCCCGCACGCGACGGCAGGCACACATGCAGCTGGTGCAGGTGGTTCTGGCAGTCCTGGGGCGTGGCGCCCTGCAGGCGGCAGGCAGGCAGGGGGGCGAGCAGCCGGCGTCGGGCGCGGGCGCGGCAGGGGCGCGGGCGGGCAGCAGGCAGGGGCTGGCCACGCCAGGCTGCACGGCGGGCGGCCGGCGCGGAGGTGGGCGTGGGCACAGCCGTTCGAGCAGCAGCGCGCTCGGCGGCGGCGGCGAGGCGCACCACTCCCGCCTTGCCCGGGCGCGCCAGGCCCACGTGGCTGAGCGTCATGCAGGGCGGGTTGAAGGACATCTCAATGGGGTAGGGGTCCCAGTTGCCTCCCAGCAGGCGGCTGGCGTGGAACTTGACGGCATCGGGAACCTGCAGGCGGCGACGGGAAGGGTGATGCTGGGGAGGGGTGGTGCGGGTGCGTGCGTGCGTGCGTGCGGGGGTGGGAGGGGCGTCCCCCAGAGCAGCAGGGCACAGGCCCACGGGCGGGGGGGGAAAGGATTGGCGCAGGGCAGGATGGAAACATTCTGTGCCCGAGCACACACGCGCTGCTGCAGCGGCGGCGCTGCTGGCGTGGCGGCGCACCGGCCAGCCGCGCGCAAACGTGGATGTGTGGGTGAAGGGCGCGTGCGCCAGGTCAAGCAAGTTCTCCACCAGCAGGCCGTGCTCTACAGGCACCTCCACCTCAATCTCTGCACGCGGGACAGGTGGCAGCGGCAACGCAGAGCAGACAGGGTCAGCGTGAGCGCCGGCGAGGGCAGGGAGCAACAGCAACGTGGGCAGGCAGGCAAGGCTGGAGCTGCGGCCCCCGGCCCTGCCAAGGCGTCCCGAGCCCTGGCGTGGGGCGCACCTGCGTGGATGCGGTAGCCGGCTGGCGGGCGCGTGACGGCGGGCAGCGGCAGCGTCGGCTCTTCCCAGCCCGGCCACACCCACACAAACCCGTCCTGCTCCGCGCACGGCAGCGCGCTCACTGCATGCGGGGCAGGGGGTGGGCCACATGCGGAGGTTGAGCACCATGCCCCCACAGAACCTGGGGAGGAGCCGAGCGGCCCGCTGTGCCTGGCCTCAGCGCAGAGGCGCCGGCAGGCCGGCAGGCGGTGCAGCGCCCAGGCCTGCCTCACCGGCCACGCCACGACAGAGGTTGGTGGAGGGCATCTTGGTGCACTCGCCCTTGCCGTTGAAGCGCCAGCCTGCGGGTAGCAGCAGGGGAGGCAGCGCATATTCAGGGCGCTGTACGGTCAGGCGCAGCTGCAATGCGATTCGGTGCTGCCGGGGGCAGACAGCCACGGCAGCCACAGCTGCGCGCTACTGGCAGGCAGGCACGGCAGCCGCGAAAGCCGCAGGCGCGGCAGCGCAAGCCGCGGGCAGGCAGGCCGACTGGGCACAGGCAGGCTCACCGTGGTAGGGGCAGACCAGGTTGCCGTCCACCACCTGCCCCAGGGACAGCGGGCAGCCGCGGTGGGCGCACTCGTCCAGCACGCAGGCGGGGCGGCCCTCGCTGTCGCGGAACAGCACCCAGGCCTGGCCAAACAGCTCAAACGGGACCTTGTCCTCCTGCGGGGGCAGACGGCGGGGCCCCGCGGGACGGCGGCGGGGGTGGGTTGGCGCAGGCGTGGGGGCGGCATGGCAGCGGGAGGCGTGGGCGAGGTGCACACCAGCAGCACCACCCGCTGCGCAGATGAATACACGGCTCTACGGCGTGGCGGCCTGCAAGGCAGGGGGCGAGGCTCACCGGGCCCAGCTTGGACACAAAGGCCACCGCAAACCAGTGGTTCTTCAGCTCCTCCTCCATCTCCAGGCTGCTGAACAGGCCGCGCCGCCGCTTCTGCGCCGCATCCTGCGCCGCGGCCAGCGCGGAGAGCGGCCCCGCGCCGCCGCCGCCGCGCGCCGCGTGCCCCGGCGCCAGCGCGTGCGCCGCCGACGACACCGCCGCGGCCTGCAGCGCCGCGGGCGCCGGCGCCGCGCCCGCCTCCTCGCGCACGGCCGCAGCCACTGTGGCAGTGCTGGGGATGGCCGCCTGCTCCCGCTGTCCCACCCCCGGCGCCGCTGCCTCCTCTCCCCTGGCTGCCACTACGTCGCCCAGCCTGCGCGACTCTTCCTTCAGCTCGCTGATGCGCTGCAGGTTCTGCTCCACCCGGGCCTGGGTGAGGTGCAGGCGCTGGTGCGCATCAGACACCTCCCCCTGCAGCTCCACCAGCTGCCGCTTGAGCGCTGCGGCGGGGCAGGGCGGCGGGATGTGCGGGCGCGCAGCGTCAGGCAGGGAGCGGGATGCCGGGCGGCGGCAACCCGAGAGCGGGCGGCGGCGCTGCTCCGCATGCCCCAGCCAGGCAGCCAGCCAGCGGCCGTGCTGCCTCTCCCCAACACGGCCGGCATCCCGGCCCGCGGGCGCCAGAGCTCCGGCACACCCCCGCAACAGGCAGCGGCGCCGCTGCGCACCCGACACGCTGTGTCGCTCCCGGCTCTCCTCCGACAGCAGCTCCTCCACTCGTGCATTGGCCTCCTCGATGGCGCTCAGCGTGCACAGCGCGTCGGCCCGCGTCACGTGCTGGTACACCAGCTCCCAGTTGCGCCGCCGCCGCTTCAGGTACTCCAGCCGCTGCCTGCGGGGGGGGGGGGGGGGGGGGGGAAAAAAAAAACAAGGGGTGGGTGGGTGTAGGGCCAATGGCTGACGGCCAGTCAACGGGCGGAGGCCACAGCCCTTCAGGCGCGCTGATGGCCCACCGGCGGAGCGTGGGGCTGCCGCCATGCAGCAGGCGGCCTGCAGGCAGCAGCTCCTGGCAGCCCTGGACAGCAGCGTGGCCACCCCAGCCCCCCAGCACACAACACGCGCCCCACCTGATGGTCGCCGCCTCCATCTCCTCTTTGCCCGCCAGCCGCTCGTTGAGCACCGCCAGGTCAGCCAGCTGGTCGCGGGCGCGGTCGGCAGAGGTGCGCACACGCACCCGCGGCGCGCTCTCTATCACCCCCTGCAGGAAGTAGCCCTTCCCAAAGTCCTCGCCGTACCTGCGGGGCGGACGACGCACGCAGGCAGGGGAGCGGGGGAAGGGTGGTAAGCGCCTGGGTGGTAAGCGCCTGCGCCACGCACAGCACGCACTGACAGCAGCCTTGCCATGCATCGCAGCGCACTCACTGGCGGAACCTGGCTTCGGGGTCTTTGGCAAGGTCCTTGGGTGGTTGCTCGTGGCCGCCCCACGCACTGCGCGGCGGCAGGGCCTGCGGCCGCCGCCGTCGCGGCCTGGCGGGGGCTCCAAGCTGCACCTGGGGGCCGGGCGCGGCGCCTTTGGAGATGCCATGGCACTGCAGGCCGCTGCCGGGCGCCAGGAGGCTGCCCAGCGGGGCCGACATGGCAGGGCCAAACCGGTGAGGCAAGGGAAGCAGGATTTAGGCAAGGGAAGAGCAAGCTAAAGCGTAAAAGTGAACGGGCGATCACAGGGTGAGGTTCTGGGGTGTCAAATCTCCAGGGGACACGTCACAGCGCGAGGATGAAGGTGGGTCGGCAGTACAAGTACTGCGGGGAGCGAGTCGCCCCAGAACTGGCTTCGATCGCGCGAATTGACGTGCAACGGTTTGCTACTGAGCCAGAAGCAGCCCAGCAGCCGTCTGTAGGTTTTCACAGCTTCAAGTTTTGCTGGGTGGGGCAGAGCGATGCAAGCGGCAGCTCTCCGAGCTCCCTGATCGGTGTCTGGGAGTAGTCTGATCGGAGCGCCCCTCACGCGTTGAAACCATGCTGGCGCTGGTGGCGGGCTTCGCCTCCATCTGTGGCTTCCTGTTCGGTGAGTGCTGAGCAGGGGGCTACTTGCTGTGTGGGCCTTCGCAGAGGCGCTCGCATTGGCGCACGCGCGTGCCGCCGGCCGCCGCCGCTTGCCACCAGCAAAGCGATCACCGTTCCCCGCCGCTGCCTTGCAGGCTACGACTTGGGCCTGATCGGCGGCGCGCTGCTCAACATCCGCGATGCCTTTGGGATCGGCGACTGGGCGGCGGAGGCGATCGTGGGCGCTGCCAAGTTTGGCGCCTTCTTCGGCACGTTCCTGGGCGGCGCCGCCATGCTGCGCTACGGCCGCCGCAAGACCATTGCCCTGGACAGCCTCTTCTTCATCGCAGGGCCGCTGGTCATGGCGGCCTCCATGGGCGTGGCGTGACTGCGCCTGCGCCCGCGGCTGCTCCCTGCACCGCTCTGTAAGGCGGCCGGCGCTTCGGCCAAAGCGAGCGGCAGCTTGTTTGTCCTGCCCCTGAAGCTCCCAACCGCCGACCCTCATGCCTCGCCGTGCTGTGCTGCGTTGTGCAGGGGGCTGGTGGTGGGGCGCGTGATTGTGGGGCTGGGCATCGGCGTCTCCGCGGTGGTGGTGCCCGCCTACCTGGGAGAGGTGGCGCCCGCCAAGGGTGGGCAAGCTGCGCCGCCGCCGCCGCCGCCGCTGCAGAGCTGTGCGCGGCTTCGAACGCCATCGCAGCCGTGTGGGTCCCATCCCTCATCCCCTCTGTTACCCTACCCACGCGACTCTTCACCCACCCACCCTGCTGCCGCCTGCCCCCCCCCCCCCCCACACACACACACACACACGTCTGCTTCGTACCGCTGCAGTACGCGGGCGCGTGGTCGAGACGTACGAGCTGCTGCTGTGCGTGGGCATGGTGGCGGCGCTGCTGGGAGACGCCGCCTTCCAGGGCCTGCCCGGAAACTGGCGGTGGATGGTGGGCGCGCCCGTGGTCCCCGCCCTGGTGCTCTCACGTGAGTCTGCCTCCGTGGGCAGGCTGCGGGCAGGCAGGCCCCAGGCAGCCTGGCAAGCAGCCCTGCAGCGCCGGCAGAGCCTGGCTGCTCCCTGCCCCCTGCCTGCTGCTGCCCGGTCCGCCGGCCTGCGCTCCTGGCGGCCGGCATTGCTGCACCCCTCGCTCCCCAGGGCACGCACATGTGCTTCGGCATGGCCCCTCACACACACGCACACACACGCCGTGCCACCCCTCCCGCCCCTCGTTGCAGTGTCGCTGTGCCTGCTGCCCGAGTCCCCGCGCTGGCTGGTCATCCGCGGGCGGCTGGACGAGGCGCTGGCCGTCATCCACCGCGTGTACACCAGCAGGCACCTGCCGGCGGGCATGCAGCACTCCACGGCGGAGGTGGAGGAGGAGCTGCTGCAGCTGTGGAGTTCAGTGGAGAAGGACCGGGCGGCGGCGGCGGCGCGGCAGCAGGCCAGCGCTGAGCGCTCCCGCCGGCGCCAGGAGGAGCGCGCGACCAAGGTGGCGCCGCTGCAGGGCGCGCCGGGCGGCGGCGGCGGCGGCGCCAGCCCGCAGCACAACGGCGGCTGGCAGCGCCTGCAGCCTGCCGAGGAGGGGGATGATGATGATGAGGAGGAGCACCAGGAGCAGCAGCAGCAGCAGGAGCCGTCGGCGGTGGCGGCGGTACAGGCGGGCGCCGCGGGGGTGCAGCAGCGGATGGAGCAGGCGGTGCGGGGCACGGCTGGCGGGGAGGGGCAGGCGCGGGGGAGCAGCCCGGTGCGGGTGCCGCCCCACCTGCCGCACATCCGCACCTCCTCCGCACAAGACCTGCAAGAGCTGGAGCAGGTCAGCCTGACCGCTCAGGGCTCCAGCCCGCAGCCCGCAGCAGCAGGACCGCAGGCGGCACCGCACGGCAGCCGCCGGCCACGCACCGACGTGGAGGCCCCGGCGGTACCGCCGCCGCTGGCCATAGGCGGCGGCACGGCGCTTCGCCTGGATGAGTGGGGCAGCGGGGCGCATGTGCATGCGTGGGGAGGGCCGGCCTATGGCCCGGGCTCTCAGCAGCAGCAGCAGCAGCAGGAGGAGGAGGAGGAGGGCGGGGAGCGGGTGGCGGCGGCGGCGCGGGGCGGCGGCGGCGAGCCGGGCTTCTGGGCCACGCTGCGGCGCATGCTGGGCGACATCCACAGCGTGGCCTGCGGCCCCGAGCGGCAGGCGCTGCAGGCGAGGAGGCGCCCGTTTCTTTTCTTGCTGCTGCGCAGCCTGTCATTCATCGCAGCCCCATTTGGTGGTGCCTGGCCGCGTGCGGCGCACCTGTCGCCTGCAGGCGGCGGTGATTACCCTGCTGGGCGTCTCCCCTGAGCTACCCCACCTTGAGTGGCCTCGACTCACCCCTGCCCTCCCCCTGCCCCTGCCCCCGCCCCTGCCCCTGCCCCGCGCGCGTGCCCTCCAGATGGCTCTGTGGCTGGCCTTCTTCAACCAGGCCTTTGCCTCCACCTCCATCATCAATTACGCGCCGCAGGTGAGGCCACCAGAAGGAGCTGCGCCGCGCGCGGCCCAGCCAGCCTGTGTGCCGGCCTGTGTGCCACCTGGCACCGGCCTCTGCTGCCGGTGCCGCTCGGCGGCGGGTCCTGCTTGCCGCGCCCTTCCGCGTGTGTGCGGGCAGGGGCAGCCGGGCGTGGCCGGCGGGGCTGACCCCGCGCCGCCACCCCCGCGCGCCGCAGGTGCTGGAGCGCGCCGGGGTGGAGAGCCACAGCGCCGCCATGCTCATGTCGTCCGCCGTGGGTGCCACCAAGGCGAGCACGGGGCGCGGCTGCATGTGGTGGTGTGCCGGCGGGCTGCCGCGCTGTGACGGAGACGCCCTGTTCTCCCCCATCACTTTTGGTGTCACGGTACTGCTTGTATGTGCTGTGCGCGTGCCGAGCGGGCGTGTCGGTGTTGCTCGCTTTCCCCCCTGCAGCTGGCAGGCGTGCTGCTGTCGCTGTGCCTGGTGGACTCCCTGGGCCGCCGCCCGCTGCTGCTGTGGGGCAGCCTGGGGTGCGCGGGCGCGCTGGTGGCGCTGGCGGCCGCCGACTGGCTGGCGCTGCGCGCCTTTCCTGGTAGTTTCCAGTTGCGCCTTCTTTTTCGCGTTCGGGGGGGGGGGGGGGTTGGGGGCGCGTGGGTATGTGTTTGTATGTGTGGTGGTGGTGTGAGTGTGTGTGTGCGCGCGGTGGGATAGGATCGCCGGAGCGTTGCGTCGCCCTGCGAGGCAGGCGGCTGTGTGGCATAGGGGCAGCGCCATGGCTCGCCTCCCCACCCTTGCCGTGGCGTCCACGTGCCCCCCCCCTGCCGCAGCGTGTCGTGGGCGGGCGTGTTCTGGGTGCTGCTGTCGGAGCTGTTCAGCATGAGCGCCAAGTCGCCCGCAGCCTCCGCCGCCACCGCCACACTCTTCCTAACAGGTGGGCAGGCTGGTGGTGGTGGTGGCGGTGGTGGTGGCGGCGGCGGCGGCGGTGATGGAGGTGGCTTGTGGGGCCTGGGGCCATGTCGCTGCGGTGTGCGGCGGCCTGGTTGCCACGTGGCTGCCCGCGCATGGCAGCATGGGGTCCCTTTACAGCCTGCCGTGCGTGCCTGTCGCTGCGTGCCTGCCGCTGCGTGCAGGCGCGGTGGCAGACAGCCTCTTCCTCACGCTGCACGGCTGGCTGGGTCCCGCCGTATTCCTCATATTTGCCGCGCTGGCGGCGGCGGCGGGGCTGTATGTGGCGGCGGTGGTGCCCGAGACGCGGGGCAAGAGCCTGCAGGAGGTGCAGGCCATGCTGTCGCTGCGCTGTGCGCCTGGCAGCCGCCGGCCGGGCCGGTGGTGGCAGCGGCGGCGGGGCGGCGGCGAGCGGCGCGGGCTGCTGCCGTCGGGCGCGCCGCTGAGCGACGGCGGCGGCGGCGATGACGCTGGCAGGGTGGAGCTGGCGCATAACCCCTAGCAGCAGCGTGTACACCCACATAACCCTTAGCAGCAGCGTGTATGCCTTTTCGAGAGAGCCTTGTAGAGTACCCGATCCGTACCGCCTTCCTGTCCTGCCTTTTGCCGTTTCATTCCCTTTTCCCTTCTCCTCTGCCTTTCAGCCATTCAGCGCACACAGTCGGAATCACAGCTCATCCATCACTTGCAACCCAAGCACACTGGCAGGCAGGGACAGGTGTAGGCAGACACAAGCAGGCGCCAGGCCACGCGGGGGGCGCTGCCAATCAGTCGTCGCCGCCACGTGAGGCACGGCCCCAAGCCGCTGCCAGGCCCTCCGCTTGCTCCCTGTCCAGCTTCAGCACCAGCAGCGGCTGCCCCAGCGCAGCCCCTGTGGCGTACTGCGCCTCAAACGCCTCTGGCCCTAGGTAGATGGTGCTGGCGTCAGCAACGGCGGCAGCCTCCCAGTCCCCCACCTGCACGACCGGCAGGGGGCGCTCAGCACTGGCAGCCAGCGGGCGCCTGGCTTGCCGCTGAGCTGTCATGACATGCACCTGCACATCAAGTGGCACCCCATTCCACCTGCGCCGACCTGGATGGTGGCGGCGGCGGCAGCCGCATCATACTGCAGCCCCTCCACCTCCAGGCAGACGGCCCACCGGCTGCTGCCCGCTCCGGGGGCGGCGGGGGTGAAGCTGAGCTGCGCTTGGGCTTTCGCAAAGGCGGCAGGCTGCGCCGCCAGCAGCGCCGCCAGCGAATCCTCCACCACCACCGGCCCTCGCTCCTCCTTGCCCAGGCACACCAGCGTGGCGGGGTCCCTCACCCCTGCCAGCGTCAGGCTGGCAGGGCTGGCGGCGGCGGCAGCGCTGGCCGCCGTCAGCAGCAGCGTGCAGCCCGTGGCCTCCCAGCGCTCTTGGCGGTGCGCTATGAAGAGCAGGAAGAAGGTGAGAACCAGGATGGCAGAGGCGATGGAGAAGAGCACACTGCCCATGGGGACCTGGACAGGCGAGGTGATCAGGTGGGCCAGGCGAGGCGGGAAGCGGCCGTGCGCCGCCGACGCCGCACCTGCCGCGCCGCCCTCAAGGTCGTCCCCTGCTGCGCCGCTGGCTGCTGTGCTGAGGGGCACGCCCTGCCCAGGCTGGGACAGCATCAGCAAACCGCCCCCGCCCGAGGCGGCACGCGGAGACACGGGCGCCGCCGCTGCCGCTCCGCTGCCGGCCCTGGCAATCAAGTTGAAGCTGAGCCCGCTCGTGCTCACGCCCCGCGATTTTGCGGGCTTGACGACCTCTGTGGGGTTGGTGGACAGGCTGCCCTGCTGATGCACGGCAAACTCCAGAAACTGTGAGTCAGACGGAGCCAGCTCCAAGTCGGTGCCGCGTGCCGGCGTCGCCGACGGTTGACCACCACTGCCATGCTCGCGCCAGGCACCGCGGGGTGTGTGAGAGGTGTCGGACAGCTGCGAGCAGCGATATGTGAAGATTTTATCATGGCCAGGCTCGGCTCAGCCCCGCTACAAAACTGTAACTCCATGTGTTGCTTTACCTGCCGCCCCTGGTCGCTCCGCAGCGGGACGTCCTCTAAGAAATCAATGTCATCGAAGCTGGAGCTGGTGCCGGTGCGCTCTCCGGGCTCATGGACCGGATGGAGGGACCCCATCCGCACGGATGCTTGCCTGTTGGAGGAGAGTTTTGCTGTTCTTAGGATGTGGATTGAATCCAGAGGAGCTGGGCGCAATGCTGCGGAATCATTTCTCAGCTTGTTGCTGCGGCGCCAGCGTGCGACAGCGCGGCCCAGGCGGCAACCGAAAGGAATCCCTCCTGGATGCATCTGGTATCAGGCGATCTTACTAGACAGGTTGAAATCTGCAGCACCTTCCAGGAGGGCATTGTCCCTTGAAGCTGTGCGATGAGGGTTGAGACTCCCCACGGCGCCTTGCGCACGGGCGCCACGCTGGCGGCGCCCTCAACCCAAACCCGAAAGCCACCCATGCCCACGCCCTGTTCACCATGGCTAATGAAGACTTCTGTCCATGTTGACGGGGCTCGCCGCTAAGCCATGCCGGGCACCCCGAAGGCAGCTGCGGAGCCCCGGGGCCACCATCGCGCCCTGTGCGCGGCACTGCGGCTGCTCTTGGCCATCTGGATGCTGGCGGGCGGGCAGCAGGCAGCAGTGGCGGGTGCAGCACCCGCCAGCGACGGCGGCGGCATCGGCGACGGTCCCGCGAGCGATGGTGCGGCCCTGTATGAGCCCTGTACGCAGCGTGGCAGCTCCGTTTTGCATGCTATTGAACGGCTGAGACCACCCTTACCTGGCCCACTTGCTGCATTGTTTGCAGCGGCGGCCCTGCTGAGCCTGAAGGCAGTGCTGCCTGGGTGGCATGCTGAGATGGCTCGCAACAACATCACCCTGAAGGGCTGGGCGGAGCAGGGGCAGCCGGACTCGGCCTGCGGCTGGACCTTCACCCAGTGTGACCCAGAGACTGGCCGCATCACTTCGCTGTAAGCCCAGCCTTGCAGCGCGGCGCGGCCTATTGCCCCATGATGCCCTCCCACCTCTGATGCCCTCCCAGCAACCGCTACTGCTGGCACACGACATGCTGGCATGCGCTTCGCTGTGCGCTGCAGGCGCATCAGTTTCAACACCCTCCGGGGCCGCGCCAACTGCAGCGGCTACCCGCCGGAGCCAGGTGCCTGCGCCTTCCACCTGCCCGCCCTGCTGGTGGCCCTGACTCCAGCGCTGCAGGCGCTGACCCGCCTGGACCACCTGACGCTGCCGGGGCTGGGCCTCAGGGGCACCCTGCCCCCGAATGGGCAGCAGAGGGCGGCCTGCTGGGGTGAGGGAGCTGTCAGCCGGTGCCGGCGCCCTCTCCCTGCGCCCTCCCTGCACCATCTGCCGCGGCCTGCCTCCCCATGTCCTGTGCATGCTCCCCTGCCCGCTGTCACTGTCACTGCCGCTGCTGCGCACTCATGCAAGCCACCAGCGCTGGCCCTGCAGCCGCCTGAAGTTGCTGGATCTCTCTCACAACTCCCTGACCGGCCCTCTGCCAGGCGAATGGCTGGCTGCGCGCACGGCGGCCACCAGCGGGGGCCCTCGGCACCAGCAGGCGGCGGCGGCGCGTTGCCTGCCGCTGGAAACCCTCGTGCTGAGCTACAACCGGCTGTCGGGCAGGCTGCCCCCCGGCCTCTTGGCCCCGAGCGCCTTCTGCGCCCTGCAAGTCCTGTACCTGGACAGCAATGCGCTGCACGGCCCGCTGCCGCCAGAGTGGCTGCTGGAGCACATCGATGCTGAGACGGGTCTCGCCAGAAGGTACGGCGCGCAGCCGCCTCGGCTGCCAGCTGCCGTCGCCGGTAAACGCGTCGCTTGTGTCACCGCTGCGATCAATTAGAGCATGCATGATGTTTGAAGCGGATGGGCACACCCCCACCTGCCTGCTCCTTGCCGCAGCCTCACAACCCTCGACCTTCGCAACAACCCAATCGGCGGCCGTCTGCCAGAGCCGCCGCCACACGTGCTGGCGGCCGCGGCATCGGAGATGGCTGCAGCCCAAGCTGCAGCTGATGCCGGCAGCGTGGACGGCGCCCAGCAGCTGCAGCTACAGCCCCCTGTGCTGGCCAGCATCATGCTGCGCAACTGCAGCCTGGAGGGGCAGCTGCCGGCCAGCTGGGCGCAGCTGCCTGCTCTGCTGCAGCTCGCTGGGCTGGACCTGAGCAGGCAAGACGGCCAGGCCAGGCCACGCCCAACCCCTACACTGCCTGCTCATTGCGGCTTGGGCGCTGCCCTACCTGTTCCTGGTCGAAAACAGCCAGGGCAGGGCACTCATCCCCCACATTTGCACCTGCCCTTTGTATGCAGGAATCGGCTGACCGGCACGCTGCCGCTGTCATGGCTGGGCAGCATGAAGGAGGCAGTACACAAGGACTGGCCGCTGGCGGGGTTCACGCCCAGGCTCAGCCTTTGGGGCAACCGGCTGTCAGGACGGCTGGAGCTGGGGCCAGAGCAAGAGGTGGGTGGGAGGGAGGGCGGGCAGGCGGGTGGTGGGTGGAGGTGGTAACAGTGGCACAACGGCTCTGAGTTGTGTTGGCAGCGGCAGTGAGTGGGATGGGAGATGGGCAATGAAGGCGCCATGCCTTGTGCAAGCTGCTTGCTCCTGCTTGGCACGCCCCTGCTTCACTCCCAAAGCTCCCGCGCCAGTACCTTGTGATTAAGTTCGCCTTCCTCCTGGTGCTGCTGCAGTACCACAACACCCTGGAGCTGGTACCAGGCAACGAGGGCCTCTGCCTGGCCCCGCCGTCGGCTCCCCAGCAGCAGCAGGCCGGCGAGCTGCAGGCAGGAGAGTCTGGGACCCCAGACTCCACATGGCTGAGAGCTAGCATCCGGGCCCTCTGCTGCCTCCCTTACCAGGGATGGTGCGCCGAGCATGCACAGCAATGGCAGCGGCAGGTGAAGGGCAGCGGCGGCAGCGGCAATGGCGCCTCCTCCGTCTCCGGCACCAGCGACAGCGACAGCGACAGCGACAGCGACAGCGACAGCGACAGCGACAGCGCCCCCTCTGCCTTCAGCTTCAAATCAGGCACCCTGGAGTGTGTATCCCTGCCAGCCCTCCTGCCAGCCTGCCCCGAGCAGCACGCCCGCTTGTGGCTGCTGCCTGCGCTTGTGGCGGCAGCTGCAGCGTGTGTTTTGGCGGCCTGCTGGCAGCCAGGCGCAGGCAGCGTGGCCTGCTGGCAGCTGGTGGCGCCGGGAAGTGGGCTGCCAGGGGCTGGGGCTGGCTGGGCAGTGCCGGGAGCGGCCATGCCCGGGGGCCGGCCGAGCGGCGGAGGCTGCTTGCTGGCGGCAGAGGAGGCGCCCTGCTGTTGCTGGATGCGGTAGAGGATGAGCTGGCGGCTGATGTGGCATGGCAAGCAGCGCAGCAGGCAGCAGAGGCAGCACCAGACGCCGAGGCAGCGGCGCTGCTGGGCGCCAGGCGCCAGAGCGCGGGCATCCCGCGGCGGCGCCGGCGGCGGCGGCTGCCAGGCTGGCTGGTGGAGACCTCCGCCGCTTCTCCCGACTCTTCCACCTTGGCTAGGGCCGGCAGCGGCAGCGGTTATGGCAGCAGCGGTGGGTGCGGTGGAAGCGTCCCAGCGCCGCTGCCTTTAGCGGCTCCCACCGGCCTCGGTGCAGCGGCGCAGCAGAGCCAGAGCCTGCTTGGGCTGGAACTGGCCTCGCTGCCCGGCCACGCAGCGGTGGCTGGCACCGCGGCAGGCAGGCTCGATGGCAGCGGTGGTGGTGCGGCCCCTACCCCCAGCGGCTCTTGGTGGCTGCACAGCACCAGCCTGCGCCTGCAGCGCCGCGACATCGAGCTGTGCACCGACGACAACGGCGGGCTGGTGCTGCTGGGCAAGGGGGCGGCGGCAGAGGTAGGTGTGCCCGCTGTTGGCGCACCCGTGCGGCGCATGAAGCATTGCAAGGCCTGCTGCTGTCTGCTCTGCTGCCTGCCGTGCGTCTGTGCACAGTCGGTGGAGCGAGGCAGAAGATGCTGGTGGTGCTGTCAGCCACCGACAGCTGTCCGCTTTGCACTTCTTGCCCGCTGCCACCACCACAGACACCCACTGCCACCATCCAGACCCCCACACACGCTGCCTGCCCCGCAGGTGTATGCCGGCCAGCTGCACGGGACGCTCCCGGTGGCAGTCAAAGTCCTGCGCTGGATGCCAGGAGCTGCCTCCGGCAGACCACACAGCAGCAGCAGATTGTCTGCCGGCTGGCAGCCGCAGCCGCAGCCCGCGGGTGCTCGAGGCCAGCAGGCCGCGCTGCCACTGCATGCCCAGTTCTGGCGCGAGGCTGCCGTGCTGCGGCGCTGCTGCCACGCCAACATTGTGGCGCTGCTGGGGGTGTACAGCGGCAGAGGCGGTGGCGGATCCACAGGCAACCCACCGCCGCAGCAGCAGCATGAGAAGCAGGAGTCTGGGGACGAGGAGGCGGGTGCGGCAGCGGGCATGGGCGAGGAAGGGGCTAGCCTGGGTGACCAGCTGACGGGGCGACCCCGCCTGCTGCTGGTGGTGATGGAGCTGCTTCTGGGCGGCTTCCTGCTGGACCACCTCAAGGATCCGGACATGAGATGTTACCGCCGGTAAGGCCATGGTACTGTGATGCCGGCAGGCATGCGGCAGGCAGGCGCAATGAGGGCGCACGGCTGGCCCAAAGCGAGTCACTGACCTTAACCCAGGCCGACCCTCCCCTCGCCTGCACGCGCAGCGGCTGGCGCGTGGCGCTGGATGTGGCTCAGGCGCTGGCCTTCCTGCACGATGGTGTGGGTGTGGTGCACTTTGACGTCAAGTCGGCGGTGAGATGGCTGGAGCGGTGGTGGTGTGCGCAGCAGGGCTGGTCTTCCCCTTTCGCCTTGGCATCGGTAACCAGAGTGTCAAGCTGCAGGCAGCCTCACCACTGGTGGCCCTCCCCCTGCCGCGCAGAATGTGCTGCTAAGCTCCAGCGGGGGCTGCGCCAAGCTGGCAGATGTGGGCCTGGCGCGCATGCTGGAAGAAGGGTCGCTGCGCCCGGGTGCGCCCCCTCCCTCTCTCCTGCTGGCCTGCTGGGCTTGCTGGGCATTGCACCCCCGCCTGCCCTCCTGTGTCATTTTTCTCAAAAGTACTCCTCCTGATCTCCACGGCCAGCACCTCACCATGCGTGGCACCCTGCTGCTGCGCTGAGCTGTGCCGCAGGCGGCGGCACGCCCGTCTATGCCGCACCCGAGCAACTGCTGGGGGTGCCCTGCGGCCCGGCGGCAGACATTTTTGCGTTCGGATGGCTGCTCCAGGAGGTCGTGACAGGGCGGGTGCTGGAGCGGCGAGGAGGCAGGGTGGTGCTCAGGCGAGCGCTGCCCGCTGTCCCGGTCTGCGGCGCAGCCTGCCGCTGTGCACCACACGAGACACAGGCGCATTCCTCCGACCCTCATGCCCGCCTTCCCTGCCACACACCCCTGCCTGCAGGCCGCCACACGACTGCCCCCTGGTCATCGCTTAGCTCATTGAGCGCTGCCTGCAGCCGGAGCCGGAGCTGCGCCCCACCTCCTCGCAGCTGGTGCAGCAGATCCAGCTGAGCCTGCAGCAGCCAGCCCCGCAGCGAGAAGAGGAGGCGGCAGTGCCAGAGGAGCGGGATGTGGAGCAGCAGTGGCTGGTGCAGCCGCCACGGAAATCTTGATCACGCCCAGGGGACCAGACCATGCACCGCACCAGAACCTACTTTGTTTGATTCACCAATTCCTTTGCACTTCTTGACAGACTTGTTCCTGTTCTTCACTGATTTGCCATTGTTTTGTGCAGCTGCTTTCTTTTCTTCAGGCTGCTCTCTCCTCCTGTTGCGCATTGCTGACCACCATTACTCCCCATTGTATTCCCTTGTTTGGCGTGATGGCATGCTGTTACAAGATACTTGCCAAGGCATCAAGCCACTTGGGGGTTTTCATTTTTTTTTAAAGCAGGGGAGAGAGAGCAGCCAAAAACGGTCAAGAAGGCAAAGGGTGGCCGACGGTGGAGCCGCCGCCGGGCAGCCATGCTGCCTGGCGCGACCGGCCGCGTCGCTTGCAGCAGGCACGCAGAGGGCGGCGGGCTCTTGCTGTGCACGGCGGCGGTCACTTGGTGTTGCCCAGCATGGCGCGCTCCGAGCGGTTGTAGGCGCGGTCAACGTGGTTGAACTCGCCTATGGACCCCTTGTACACGGCATAGGGCGCCACGCCCACCCACAGCGCGATGGTCATCAGCGTCTTGGCGTCCCACCTGCGCGGCACAGGCAGGCAGCGGCCAAGCAGCGCGTCGCGGGGGCGTGAGGAGCCGGGAGGGCCACGCGAGGGGACCGAGCAGGGCGTGCGGCATGCCGCGCAGCTGTGGAGGAGGGGCAGCTCCCGTGACAGCTCCGTTGCTGCAAAATTTGCAAGTTGCATCCCGCGAATGCTGCTATGAGGGAGTTCAGGTCCTCCAGCCCACCTGAACTCATTCTCCACATGCTCCCGGCGCGTGCCCCACTCCTCCACAAACTTGTTGGGCTTGACCGGCAGGTTGCCTGTGGTGCAGGGAGGAGATCATAACGAGTGGGCAGACGAGTGGCAGGAGCAGGCGATCAAATCCCCATGGAAGCGAACAGGCATAGCCCTGGCGAGGGCTGTGAACGAGCCAAGCGGCGAGGTGGGGTGGCCGAGCGGCGGCGCAGGGGCGGGTCCCAGCCGGGTGCCGCCTCCCGACGATCCCGCTGCTGCGGCAGCGCTGTGGGGCATACAACACCCTAATCACGTTTACACAACAAGCCCGCAGCCCCTGTTTGGGCTCACCCGCAAGCCTCTGCTGCTGGTGCTGCGCAGCGGCAGCCGTCCGCCCTCTAAGCTGGCTCGCCGCCTGACGCAGCAGCGACATGGCTGCTCCGCTGCTGGCTGCGGCGCCTGGGGGCGATGTCAAGCGGTGTGCGAGGGCGAGCTGCACCAAGCCTGGAATAGATCGAGCGGCCCCCGATTGCGACCCTGCAAGTCCAGGGTTCTCCTTTTTGCAGCCAGAAGCGAAGCCGTACGTCGAACTGTCCCGCCGCCACCCCGCCGGGGCGCCAAGTTGGTGGCGCTCTTCACGCAGGATGCACTTCATCAATGAACATGGCATGATTGTCAGAATCAGCATGACTGTCGGAACCATACTGCACGCAGGCTCTTTCAAATGCCGGTGTCAAGCCCCCTCTTCCGCCGACGGCAGTGTTGCAAGGTCACAGGACGGCAGCAAACAAACATATGCCAGGAACAAAAAAAAGGAACGAAGAAAATAGATGAGCAGCGCTGGCATCCGTGTGGTGCCAAGTGCACGCGCGCGTTGTTGGCTGCCGGTGTGGAGGCCCAACTGCCTCCCCCCGCCGCAATACGGCGGCCACCACGCTGGCGCCCCTCAGCTCGCGTGCAGCTTGCCCACCGCCGGCGTGCTAGAGGAGGCCTTGAGCGAGGCCCCGGAGCGGTTGAGCATGATGGCGGCGGCAAAGAGGGCGCCAAAGGCTGCCACCAGCAGCAGCAGCTTCTGCAGGAGGCCCATGGGCGAGTACGAGTACTCCACCTGCACCGCCAGCAGCAGCAGGCCAGCAGGGCACTGGTGAAGAGGAGGGCGGCGGTCGCAGGCAGCCAGGCGGCACAGTGGCTGGGACACGCGGCGGCCTGGGCTGGCTGGCAAGGATGCCGCTGCTGCATCGCAGCCCCCTCCAGGCGCCACACACCACGAACACTCGCGCACACACCACCACACCCACAGGTGTCCCCACTAGGTGCCCCCACGACCCAACCACCCCCAGGGCAGGGCCGCACCTTGAAGGGCACGTTCATCTCGTCCACCACGTTGTCCGCGCGCAGCACCAGCACGGGGCGCCCCACCACATCCAGGTACGTGTACTTGGTCTCAAAGGCCGGGTCCTGGGCCAGGCCCAGGCCAGAGGCGGACACCAGGCGCACGTCGCGCGCGCCCTCGGGCAGCACCACCTGCGGCGCGCGGGCGGGCGGATGGAAGGGGGAGCAGGGGAGTGGTGGAGACGGCGGCGCGGGCAGGGCTTGCTGGCGACGCCGGGGGCACGCCGGACCAGCTGGCGGGTGGCTGGGCCGGGCAAGCAGCCGCACGTGCGGCCAACGCGCGTCCACCCGCCCGGCGCCTCCACCCCCCCCACACACACGCCCCACCATGCCGCCCTGCCCACCTTGACCGTCAGCTTGTCCACCACCAGGTTGTGCACGGAGGGGCCGATGGGCGCCTCAAACAGCAGCCGGCCAGAGGGCAGCTGCGCGCGGGGAGAGGAGCGGGAGGAATGCAGGGCGCAGCGGGCAACGTGGGGCAGCGTCAAGCATGGGATGCGGGAGCATGCATGCCGGCGACACAAGGGCAACAGGCAGCAGAGGCGGCGAGCCCTCGTGCGTTACTGCCGCTCATGCTGCCGCCGCTGGCGCCCTGCCCCGGCGGCACCGCACCTTGCGCACGCACTCCTGCAGCGGCATGCTCCACCCAAACAGGAACTGCAACGCCCAGCCGCCAAACAGCGGGAAGCGCGGCGTCAGCTTCACATCCACTGACTCGCGGCCAAACCGCGCCTCTGCAGGGCGGCCGGGGCAGGGAAGAAGCGGGAGCCGGTGTCAGCTCAGCCCACTGCACGCTGCGCGTCAACTGCATCCGCATATCTGCGTTGTCCCCCCCGTCCCGTGCCGCACGATCCAGCCTGCTGCTCGCTGCCTCCCTCCGCGCCGCCTGCCTGCCCAGCCCAGCCCACAGCAGCCCCAGCCCACCCGAGGAGGAGATGTTGCCGATGGCGTCGCGGTAGTAGAGCGAGTGGGCGGTGGGCGGCAGCGTGGCGCCCACCGCGGCAATGGCGCCCCGCGCAAAGTCGTTGGGCCGCGTCATGAGGTCGTAGCGCGACCACTCGCCGGTGATCTTGGCGCCCGCGTGCCTCTGCAGGGCCAGGCCAGGCAGCGCCACGCACGGGCAAGGCGCGTGAGCAACAGCGGGCGAATGCTGGCGCGTTGGTTGCGACGGCGGCAGGGCCTGATGCTGGCCGCGGCTGCGCTGCCACTGGGCGGCCTGTTGGCCTGTTGCCGCAGCGGCCGCGGCCGTGGCTGCCAGGCTGGCTGGCTGTTGTACCGCGGGTGCGCACCAGGTGGTACCGCTCCTCAAAGTACACGTTGCCCCAGTGGCTGATCTCAATCTCGCGCTCCAGCTCCGGCACGTGCGCAAAGGCAGCAAAGTTCTCATAGTGCACTGCGGGGTGGGGTGCATGGATGCGGCATGTGTGGGTGGAGGGCAAGGGAAGGGGCACAAGGAGCCGGGGAGCTCCGCCAAGACACCAGCTGAGGCGGCACGGAGCCGGGGCCTGTGCCAGGCGGCTGCTGCGGGGCACACCGCTGATGGGCTTGAGCGTGAAGGGCTGGGTGTCCTGGTAGGGGCCGTACTGCAGGGAGCTGCCGCTCTTCTTGGAGGGCGGCACGTCGGTGAAGGAGGGCACGGCGCTGGTGCCCGTCACGACCTGCGTGCGCAGGAGGAGGCGCGGCGGGCAGCGGGGCGTGCGGTGGGGCCGTGCGGGCTTGGCAACGCGGCCTGGCAGGGCAGCGCGACGGTCCAGGCGCCCTACCCTCCACCCGGGTGCGCAGCCGCGGCACCAGCCGGGCGCCCACCTCTGTGCTCTGCTTCTCCACGCGGTAGGGGCTGGCCAGCAGCGCGCTGTCCTGGTACACCACACGCTGCGGCTCGCTCTGCCTGATCTTGGCTGGCTCGGGGCGCAACACATGAGTGAACAGCGCCTCCGCCTCCAGGGTCGCGCGCGCCCCCGGCGCCAGCGCCTCTGGCAGCTTGTAGGAGCGGCAGCCCACGCCGGCGGGCACCCCCGCCGGCGGCGGCGCCGCAGACCACGGCAGGTTGGCGCCGCTGAGCGCCACCTGCAGGCGGTAAGCGGCGGGGCAGTGGCTCCAAGGTGCAGCAGCCGGCCGCGGCAATGGCGGCACGTGCTCCGCTTTGGCTAAAGGGGAGCGGGGCTCCAAACTGCGCAGGCTGGGTACCGCCGCACCCGCCCGCCGCCGCCGTGGTGTAGACCCCACCCGCTAGGCGCCCATCGGGCCCTGACCCGCACCTCTGTGATTGCCACCTTGTCCAGCAGGCCCGCGGCCTGGCACAGCACCACCACATCCTCGCCGGCGCTGCCATCGTTCCTAATCACGAGCCTGGTCTTATGCCCCGACCGGAATGTGGAGATGTCGATCTGCAGCAGGCACGGGTGGCCGGTGTTCAGGGTGGGAAAGGGAGTGAGCAGGCGCCTGAGCCAGCAGGTGATCGTCGCATCGTCGCACCCTTCTCTGCGCCTCCTCAATCACCAGCTGCGACTGGACCGCATGCAGGCCGGCCAGAGCCAGCAGCAGCAGGAGGCTGGCCCGCATAGTGGGGGCTTGCAGGGCGGCACGAAAATCAGGGGGCCATCAGTTGCAGGCCCGAGCTCAAGGGGGCACGATGCGTGCGCTGTGTGCCACCGATGGCGAGCGCCAGGGCTTTGCAGCGAGGCCAAGCCGTACATGTACTTCAGCCGCGTGGAACTCGCCCATTGAAGCCCGTCCAGCGCTCTCAGCGGCATTCGGCACCCCACTGAATCGTATACCGTCGCACCAGCATTGCCTGGACGCCTCTGCCTTCAGCACGCAAGTCAGAACCGACATCTCCGAGGCCAGCCTCACACACCAGGCAGGTCGGCACAGCTTGTTGCGGGGCCAATGGCTATGGCCCCTCCCCACGGTCAGCAGCCGGCAGCCAAGCTCGCAGCAGGAGTAGCAGGGCCAGGAGGGGCGGCGCTTGCAGCGCCAGCCGCGCAGGTGGTGGAGGGCTCGTGCGACGGAGGTCACCTGGACCGAGACGTGGTCCAAGCAGCCGCGGCAGCCGGGGTCGCCAAGGCCGCAGCGGCAGCCGTCTCGCCCAACAAGCGCTGCCCCTGCCCCAACTGCCGCGCACCCGCCGCACCCGGCCAGGCCGCCAAGGGCAGCGGCAGCTACGCTAGCAACGTGCGCGGTGGCAGTACGGGCGCCAAGCAGCAGCAGGCGGCGGGAGCAGCGGCGCCCAAGGCAGCCGGCGGCAAGTCACGTGCAGAGCGCAAGGCCACCCCCACCTTCAACATGTCGGCGCTGCCGGCCAAGCCACTGATGCACACAGCCACCAGCAAGGATGTGCAGGGCGCCAAGGTGGGTGCGCTGCAGGCCTCTGGGACACTGTGAAGCAGCAACTTATACGTAAGAGGCTCAAGAGCCACTGGCTCTTGAACATACATTTGGCTCCCTGCCCAGAATGTGGCCAGCTGCACACTGCTCACTGCTCTCCCTGCTCCATCCCCGCTGGTGCAGCCCAAGCCGCGCAGGGAATCGCTCAGGACCAAGCTGCAGAAGCTGGCGGCACGCCTGGTGAAGCGGAAGAAGGAGTGAGGGCACCAACGGCAAGTGCGCACGGCGCCTCGTGTGTGGCAGCACTGCTGCCGCTGCCTTCCTGCTGCAGGGGCCCTGCTTCCCGCAGGCAGGATGCTGTTGCTTGTTTACTCTTTTGCTTACACCTGATTGCAATGCTCAGCTCGCCATGTAAAGAAACCGAATCAGTCGCCTTGCTGCGCCGCCGTCATCGCCGCCGCCGCCGCCGCCGCCGCCGTTCCATCTGGCGCTCCTGCCGCTGGTGCTTCTGCCGCTCCTGCTGCCGCCGAGTTGCGGCGCACAGCCCGGGTCCAGCGCCGCAGCATGGCCTCCACGTCAGCATCCATGCGGGTGCCGGCCCCACCCCACACCAGCATGTGCGGCAGGTCTGCCAGGCTGTCGCCACGCACCACCCGCACCGGCTGGAAGCCAAAGCGGGTGTAGTAGCGCACCAGCCGCTCGTGCCAGGCCTCGTCGTCTGCTCAGCAGGGGCACGCATGGGGGCATGCACGCGAGGCTGAGTGGCTGATGAAGAGAAGGCGTGGGTCACCACGGCAGCAGCACCATGCCTGGATGCGTGCAATCACAGGTAGCAAGCTACGCGCATCGGACATCCATCCCAGCCCCCCGCAGGCTCACCGTTGATGGCCAGGATTTCGGCCTTGCGGCAGCCGCGGGCCAGGCCAAAGGCAAAGGTGGCGGCGCCCATGAGCAGCCCCAGGCCCAGCACGCCGCCGCGCGTGCGGCCGCCCTCCTCGCCACTCTGCCCTTTCGTGAACACCTGCAGCGTGTCACAGTGCATGAGGCCCAGAGGCGGCGGCACCAGGAAGCCGCTGGTCACCGCCAGCACACAGCCGCGGCCGCCCACGCCCGCCGCCGCCTCCTCAGCTGCCCGCTCCGCTGAGCTGGGTGCCCTGCCGCTGCCGCTGCTGCTGGATGCCGCGGTGTCGCGGCACACGATGCGGTAGAAGGGTCCCAGAACCTTAGTGCTGATCTCCATCCCCCTGCAGCTCAGAGCGCACACGCAGAGGGCAGCAGGAAGTGATGCCCAGCAGTGCGAGCCCAACATGCTGCTGCTGTTCCGCATGCATGCCAGCTGATGCAGCCGCTGCGCCTGTACCTTGAGCTCGCAATCTGCTGCACCTCCTCCAGAGTCACCAGCCCCTGCCCCCTGGCAGCAACGTGCTGGTCGGCTGCTGTTTGCTGCGCCTGTGGCAGGGTGCGGCGGTGCCGGCACCGCTGGGGGGCTTGCCGCCGCCGTCTGCCATCGGGCCGGATCGCGCTGCGACCTGGAGCGCGCCACAGGTGCGATCTGCAAGGCGCGGCAGCAGCCGTGTGGGAGCCGCACACCCGTGGCCTGCATGGCGAGACGGACTGGCCGGTGCGCAACGCGGCGGCAGCTGCTGCAGACATTATGGTGGATCAGTGTGCTGTGAGCTGCCACATTGACTCGGGCTGCAGAGACCCCCATGGGTATGCCAGCCTGTCGCTCCCGCCCCGCCAGCAGGGCGCCGCCGCTACCGACATCGGTCTGGATTGAATGCTCAGTTTCATGGGTTAGACGATTAAAACAGGTGGGTAATGAGTATAAGTCTAAGATGAAAACATTCTTCGATGAAGGAAAACTGGGACAATCAAGGGCAAAAGTAACAGAGCTGGAGGGGGCTGTAGCCAGCGTATCCTGGCTTCAGGTGTGTCAGGTCAGGGCTTCTTGCAGCTGAACACGCCATCAAAGATGTACCCATTGTCGGTGTCGCAGATGACGCACTTGCCATCGCCGTTGCGGCACTTGAGGCACTTGTCACCGTGGAGGGAGGTGCAGAAGCCGCAGTCCTTGTCTTGCTGCACGTACATGGGGAAGCCGTTGTTCTTGTCCACGCACTTGGTGCATTTGCTGGGCTTGTCGCCATCGCATGCCGCGCACCAGCCCAGGTGGTAGCCGCCATTGGGGGAGGTGGGGGTGCACTGCAGGGCGCAGTGGCGGAGCGCGGCAGCCGTGCTTGTGAGGGACCGGTGCTGGGGTGCATGTGTTGCAAGCCCGGCTGCACGCCACTTGCATGCATGCATGTGAGGCGGTCCTGTGCCTGCAAAATGGCTGCCGGGCTCACCAGCACGCAGGTGCCGGCATCGGTCTTGCCGTACACGGGTGCCCAGGAGTAGGCATCCGCATCCCACGTGGGGGGCTTGCAGCGCAGGCACTTGCCGGTGAGATTCTCGCACTCCACGCAGTTAGCAGGGCACTGCAGGCACAGGGAGGCGTCGCAAGAAGGGTGCCAAAGGTCTTCAGGCAGGCTGCGAATGAACTCTGTGGGGTGGTGGCCTCAGGGTGGCCAGGCCAGGCAGGCAGGGCAGGTTAAGCGTCCCGGCCCAAGCATCCCGGTGTGCTCCTCACCTTCTTGCAGGTGCCCTGGCTGGTCCTGAAATAGCGTGGCAGGCAGACGGTGCAGACGTTTGGGGTGCTCCCCTTGCACCGTGCGCAGTTGGCTGGTGCGCAAGGGACGCAGGTGGCGACGGTGCCGTTGAGACGGCCCCAGCCCGTCTTGCATATGTCGCAGCTGCAGTCAACGGGGAAGGGGGGCAAAAAAGGAGTTCAGTCGGCAGGGATGCCGCAGCGAAGGCAACGTGGTGCTGGGCAGCATTGCGGAAGACCAGACAGCAAAACGGGCGCCTGAGGTGGCGTGGCGTGGCATGGCGGGTCAAAGCAGGCCCAGCACAGAGTAGGTGGGTATGTCCAATGCATGCCGCCTCCGACCTGGTTCCTGCCGTGTTACATCTTGCGCATCCATTCTGGCCTTGAACACAAGCAGCGGCGGCTCCTGCAGGAGGATGCAGAGCACCAACAGGGGAGGGCTGAGCCAGCAGGGCGTCATGGCGGCCGCCGCAGCATGTACCCCAGCCAGGAAGGCAATGCGGCTCGCCATGTGCTTCCCTCACCTGGGGCATGTGTTGTGAGCACCAGCAGGATAGCTGCAAGCGCCGCAAGCGCGAGGGTCCGGCTCATGGCTTTGTAGCAACGGGTGGGAGGGGCGGGGAGGGGTGGAGGAAGATCGGTGGAGAGCAGCAGCCAAAACAAACTGGGAGAGTGAATAATGCGCTGAATCGCAGACTTTTATCACGGCGTCCCTGCCACCGCTTCCTCGCAGCTGCCCCTTGCACGCGCGCTGGCTGCAGCTTCCTTAAACGTGCTGGGCAAGGGAAACGGCGGCCACACAGCAGCGCCCCAGGACAGGATCCCGGAGCTGCCCAGCGTGGAGTCGAGCTGACATGCCGGTGGCGGCAGCTGCAGGCGGGAGCGGCGGCGGCAGGGTAGAGGGCACCCCACACACCCCTGCCTGCTGCCGCATTCAAGCCGACTAGCCTGCGGCAGGCAGCCACACCCACACAGCCTGCGCCTGCCCCAATTGCTGCACGCTGCTGCCCTCCCCTTACACACAACCGCCTACTGCCCATGTTAACACGCTGCCCATCTTGCCCACTCAGCCACAACACAGTTCTTCCTGCTCCCCTTCAGCCACCCCGCACCAAACACGGGAGAACTCCATTCTGCCCCCTTACATGCTGGACGGATTTCAGCGGCAGAGTGGGTGACGCCATCTCTGCCCCACCGCCTAGCGCTGAGCGTCAAATGGCAGGGTTCAGATACCGCTTACAAGATCGATTATAAGCAACTGAGAAACAGATAGAACATGGGAGGATCAAGGGTGGCGCTCTAGATGAATAGGTCAAGCATGTCTGTGAAAGGTGGCACTCAAGGGGAAGTCGCTCGCTAAAAGAGGTGGGCGGTGCGCCCGAGGCTCAAGCCGTCTTGCAGCTGCCGGCGCCATCAGGCACCCAGCCATCGGCGCAGATGATGCACTTGCCGTCGCCGTTGCGGCACTTGAGGCACTTGTCACCGTGGAGGGCGGTGCACTGCAGCGGAAGAGGGGGGCAGGAGGCAGAGAATGGTCAGACGCAGGAGGCAGCTGGCGCGGTCTGGTGCCAAAACACAGCCGCCTGCCCCGGCGCGAGCTGTGCAGGCATGCCTGAAGCAGGGGCAAACAATGCCAGGCGCAGCAGCAGCAGCGGTGCTCACGAACTGGCAGTGGTAGGAGGTGTCAAGGTACATGGGGAAGCCGTTGTTGAAGTCGGTGCACTTGGTGCAGCGCTTGGGCTTGTCGCCCTTGCACGCCGAGCACCAGCCGGCGTGGTTGCCCTGAGGCTGGCACTGCGGGGGCAACAAGGGGCAGGCAGGAGTGCCCAGGCGGTGAGGCGGGTCGCAAGATGCGCGCGTGCGAGCAGGTGGCAGGGCCTGCTGCTGCTGCCGCTGCTGCTGCTGCTTGCTGCTGCTGCTGTGTGGGGACCGAGAGGAATGCAGGCAGGCAAGCGTGCGCCCCAGGCCTCCGCCCGCTCACCAGCACGCAGGTGCCGGCAGAGGTCTTGCCGTACACGGGTGCCCAGGAGTAGGCATCCGCGTCCCAGGTGGGGGGCTTGCAGCGCAGGCACTTGCCGGTGCCCTTCTCGCACTCCACGCAGTGGCGGGGGCACTGCAGCGAGGGGAGACGGGAAGAAAGGCGGGGTTGGTGGCTGTCTTGGGTGGCAGAGCAAGGGCTGGTGGGAACAGGAAGCATTGGAACCACAGGCGGCCTCGTGCCCAACAGAGCCTTTACCTTGTAGCACTTAAATCCCTTGAGGTAGTGCTTGGGCTTGCAGGCGGTGCAGCGCGCGGGGTTGAGCCCGGAGCAGCGGGTGCAGCCGGGGCCACACTTGTGACAGGTGCCCGCGGGGTGCCTGCCGTAGCCGCTCTGGCACACCTCACACCTGCACCACGCAGCAGCACAGGGGCAGGGATCAGTCTGATAGGGCGTGTGAACCGCTGTAGGGGGCCAAGTGGGGTAAGTGCCGCTCCAGGATCAGGGTATGCACCGGCGTAAGCAGCCATGGCGTGTGGCGGGGGCACCAGCACCGGAGCAGGATCAGGGGCATGCACAGGCGGAAGCAGCGCCAAGCTTGGGGAAGCCCCTCAAAGGGGGCGGCCCAGCGGCGGCAGCGGGCTCACTTCGTCTTGGCGACGTTGCACTTGGCGCAGCCATTGACGCCACGCTGACACGCGGCCGCGGCCCCTGCAACGTCGAAGCGCGAGGGGAAGGTGCGTCAGCGCAAAGCCCAGGCGCGCTGCCAGGTGATGCATGGCCGGCAGGGCGGGCATGCAGGCGGCGGCGGCAATTCTTGGGCGACGCCACTCACCCTGCGCGAGCACGAAGATGACAGCTGCGATGGCAGCGATGGCAAGTGAGCGACCCATGGCGAGGAGAGGCGCAAGCGCAAGGAGTTGGGAGTCGGGACTGGGAGAGGGGCAGCCCAGCTGAATTGAGGAGTAGTGGCTGGGAGTGGCGAGAGTGAACTGGGTTTATGTGCAAGGAGAAATGAAAGTGGATTCGCGACTGAAGTCTCGATTTATATGCCTTGTACTGCGGACGCTTCGCCGTGACTTCCGCAGCTTCGCGGGAGGAAAACACGTGAAGGGCTCTCAGCCACACGAGTGGGAAGGGGCTGGCCACAGCCAAAGGCAGCTAGCAACCAGATAGAAGCGGTGGGGCTCCTGTGACCACGCATGCTGGGCGCCTGCTGAGCCATGCTTTGTGCTTTGCAACCTCACAGAACCAGATAGGGCGTTGCTACAATTGAATCAACTGCCCACCTGTCCATGCATACAGCCAGCGCCTGCTGCCTGCGCAGCGCTGCGCAGCGCTCACATGTCGACGACGCGCAGCCCGGCCCGGGCGAGAAGCAGGAGGCGGCAGGCGCCCGCGCGGCTGCCCGCCAGCACCGCGCCCAGCAGGCCGCGCCGCCCGCTGTCGGGCAGCTCCATGTCAACGACCTGCGGCGGTCAAGACGCAGCAGCGGGGGGTGGATAAGTGGGGCATTGCCGGAGAAACGCAGTAATAGGTTCCCCGGGATTAACAGCAGGGCAGCCACATTCTGGCCCGCGCCAGGGCAATGCCAAGCACCTGGCGATGCCGCCCACCTGGTGCTCGCCATACTCCTGGCGGGGCGCCACGCTGCGGTACAGGTAGGCGTACTGCGAGGCCTCCACCAGCGCGCACGCCACGTCGCCGCCCGGCGGCACCAGCAGCAGGAACTTGCGCTGCACCTTGCCTGCAGCCGACGGGGCACAGCAGGAACCAACAGGGGCTGGGAAGGCGGGCGAGGCTGGGCTGCAGCAGCATCGGCAAGCTTGGGGCTAAGCGGGCTGTCTGAGGGTCGGTCACGGCCACCCCAGCCTCCCAGATGCAAGCCGCACATGACCCCGCCAACTGACCTGCTGCCACATACGCCATGGCTGGCACCGAGGACACATGCTCCACAGCAAAGCCTCCCGCCTCGCCCTCGCCGCCGCCGCCGCCGTCGCCGTCGCCGCCCAGGCAGCTGACCGCCACCACCGCACAGTCCACATCGTCGGTGAGACCCAGCAGCAGGCGGGGCCCGCTGCCGGCGGGCTGCTGGCGGCGCTGCTCCCCGCCGCCGTCGCCGCCGCCGTGCGGCAGGTGTGTGTCTGGCGTGGGCGGCTCCTGGGCCCCCACCGCAGGCTGCTCCAGGTGGCACGTCAGCAGCTTGTGCGGCTGGCAGGACAGCGTGTGCACCAGGCGGAGCAGCGGCTGCCCCTCACCCTGCTGCCCCTGCCCGGCCGCCACTGCATCAGCCTGGCCAGCCGCCCCTCCTGCAGATGCGCCTGTGTCGGCAGCAAGCACAAATGTGTAGAGGCAGCAGGTGGGCTCGGAGCCCATAGCGCCCACGCCGTCGGCGCCAGCCTCGCGGTACAGGTCGGCGTACTGCTGCTGCGGCAGCGCGCCTGCAGGACAGCAGCGGTGCGCCAGGGCCAGGCCAGGGGTGGGCAGGAGTGGGGCGCATTGCTCAGCTGCAGGCCGGCATGCCAGCAGGCACAGGCAGCAAGCATAGCGGGATGGAGCCACCGGGCGCTGCTGCCACGCTTTCCACAGCCTGCTGCCGGGCCCGCTGCCCTGCCCGCCTCACCCACAGGCTCATCAGAGGTGTAAGCCGCCAGGCGGGCCACCGCTGCCTGCAGCGTGCGGGGGCTGACATCCCCCCCGCCCCCATCAGCCTCCATGCCGTTGGCCCCATGGCTTGCGGCGGCCGCCGCCGCCGCCGCCCGCTGCGCAGCCGCCTCCTCTTCTACGCTGGCTGCAGACGGCTGCAGCGCAAGCAGCACGCTGCCGGCAGCTGGGTGGGCCAGCACACCGTGGGGCGGCAGGTCGGAAACCTGGAGCGGGGCGGAGCAGGGGAGGGGTGAGCCACAAGGAGCAGGCGGGAAGGAGCTCACGAGAGGAAGTGTGTGGGGTTGAGGGATGGGCACCAGCGGCCGCTCTCCTGGCCTGAAAGCTTGGGAGTGCGCACCAGCGCACCCCTGTCACACTCACGCACACCCGCACACACCTTGAGCAGTTGCACTGCTCGCACGTGCAGCGCGGGCGGCAGCGCCGGCGCGGGCGGAAGCTCCGCCACCAGCTGCACAGCATACACCTCGCAGCGCGAGGGCTGGCGCTCGCTGCGGGGCCGCGCCGCCCACAGGATGCAGCACACGCCGATGACATCGCTGCCCATTCCCTGTGGCAGCTGGAAAGCGGCGGCCAGGTGCACCGGCCTCACGCCCTGCAGCGGTGGCGCCAGCCGCAACGGGAACACGGGTGGCGCCGTGGCGGTGGCGGCCGCGGTGCCAGCTGTGACGGGCTGCTGCTGGGTGGCCGCTGGCCGCACTACCAGGGACACATCGCCGTGGCCGCCGGACACAAGCAGCAGGCTGCTGGCAGAGATGCTGCTGGTGGGTGCATCGGGCGCTGGCGCCGCGGATTGGACCTCCACCACCGAAGGCGGCAGGCCGCCGCCCGTCAGACCTCCCGCCGGCGCCTCCTGCTGCACTTGTGCCGCGCCTGCACCGCCAACGCCCAAAAGCAGTATGCTGGCGATCAGTGAGCAACACCGGACAACCTGCCAGTGAACAGGCTGCCGCTCTTTGCGACCACCCTCGGCCACCGCCGACCCCACTCACCGCAGACTCTGTGCACCTGCGGCGGCTTGCCGGCCTCGCCCACATCTATCTGATACAGGCCCAGCTGTGGCTGCGCCGCCCCCTGGCCCTCCTGCTCCTCCAGGAACGCGTAGCACCCGCACGGCTGCTGCGTCAGGCCGTTGAGCAGCGCGGCGTGGCGGGCCACCACATAGTCCGTGTTGGAGGCTTGCGCGGGGGCCGCAGGCGCCGGAAGCGGCACGGTGCCCTGCGACTGCAGGATGCTGCTGCTCAGACGCCAGGACGAGAAGTGCAGGTTTGTCCTGCGGCGCTCCAGCTGCAGATGGCTGGGCTGCGGGTCAGCCATGGCTGCAGGCGATGCACAAGTGGCACCTGGATGCGTCATGGCGATTGTTTTGCCCAAGCGGGAGGCCACGTCAGAGCCTGTCGACGCCATCAGCCAAAACCGCATGCATTGCGTTGATTGAAGCTTCCCAACACATGAAATCGTAATCAAGCTCACCAACCAGCCTCCTGGCTCATGCACCTGCTGTTGCTTTTCTATGCCCGCTTGCAGCGTTCGCCACAGCTGCAGCCCGGCAGCTGAGATCGAGGATAGCGACGGAAAGAGGAGGTTGCATCGGACCGACACACCGGGATGGACCAGGGCGGCGCCGGCGCCTCTGCCTACTGGTGCAAACTATGGTTGATTGTGGCGGTGTCCTGCTGGGCATCTGGATTGTTGCCAGGCTTTGGAGCCCAGCCAGGTGTTGCACATTGTGACACAATCAGTCGTATTGCTCTGGAATCTTGGGATGCTCTACCACGTCACTACTGTGCTGATGCGTCTCCTGGCTGGCCTCTTGCTGGCCTGCCGCCCCTGCCGCTGCACCACCAGCCTCCTCAACTGGGGACGGCACCGCCTTGCTCGTCAGCTGCGCCAGCGCTGCTTCCAGCCGCGCGCTGCGGTCCTCGCCCATCGTCACTCGCTCCTCCAGCACCGCCACAGTCTGGGTGAGCATGTCCAGCTGGGAGACAGCCTGCTGCAGCACGCCCGTCAGGCTCTCCTGCATGACGCCGCCCTCCAGGGACTCTGCTGCCGCATGGCTGCCGTCTTGCGCCCTGGCTCCTTGTCCGCGGTGCACCGCTGCAATGCTGCCTTCGGCCCCCTTATCCCAATTCAAAAGCTGCTGCTGCTGCTGCTGCTGCTGCGCTGGGTCTGCAGGTCTGCATGGCGCTGTCTTTGGCCTGGCTGCCACCTTCCTGGCTTGGGGTCTGCTGCCGGCCTGCTGTCCAGCTGCTGCAGCCTGCTGCTTCACCGAACCGCTGCCTCCTGCTCCTGCTGCTTTGGCGGGCACTGCAACTGCCGCCACGGCTGAGCCCAGGCAAGCATCAAAGTTGGTCTTCCAGACCAGCACCGCTGCGTCCGCCCCTGCCGATGCAAAGTGCTGGCCGGAGGAGCTGAAGTTGGCTGCAAGGGTGGGGCCCTCGTGGCCGTGCAGCGTGTAGAACAGCAGCCCCTCCTGCAAGTCCCACACCTGCATGCCAAGGTGCACATGCGGGATGGTGGCTGGACAACGGGAGGAGGGGAGGGCAGTAGGCACTGGCAGTAGCAGCAACGAGTGCGCCAGCAGCAAGCAGCATACCCAGCTGCTCCATCCATTCAAGCATTCATCCAGTCACGCACGCATCCATCCATGGCTGGCCTGCCACCCACCTTGAGGGTGCCATCCAGGGAGCTGCTGAGCAGGAAGCTGCCCGAGGGGTGGAAGGCGGCGTCGGTGACCGCGCCGCCGTGGGCCTCATAGTACTGGATGATGCGCCCCGCCCGCAGGTCCCACAGCTTCAGGCAGCCGTCTGTGCCGCCGCTGGCGATGCAGCTGCCTGCAGCCGCGCCCGGGACAAGACAGCAGCTTCAGGGGCAGGGCGCAGGGCCCCTGGCCAATCCACCTGCCTTGCGCCAATCCAAGCCAATTCCTTCGGGAACGCCTAATAGAATCGCCAAGGCTTCGGCACAGGCCTCCCCGGGACCCATTCACTACTAGTGGGGGGTACTGCACTTGGCGCGTCGGGCAGATCAAATAATGGTCTAAAGCTAGACGTTAAAACCGGGAAGTGAAGCTTGTGGAGGCTCTTCCCCACCTTTACCTTGCGGCGTGCTGCGGGGCTCAACATGCGTGCTCATAGCCACGGCAGGAGCCAGGGCCCGCGCCAGCGCCGCTCCGCCTGCACCCACCGTTTGGGTGGAAGCGCACCACCTGCACGCTGCCCTCCATCTCGTTGAACGTGTGCAGCGCCGCCTGCGTCTCCAGGTCCCACACCCGCACGCTGTGGTCATCGCCGCCCGACACCGCCACCCGCGCATCGGGGCTCAGCCGGCACGACCGCACCCAGTTGGTGTGGCCGTTGAGGCTGGCCAGGAAGCGCTGCTGCGGCACCAACCACAGCTGCAGGGAGGAGGGAACAACGGACGGGAGCAGTGCTTGCATCCTTTGCAGTATGCGGGCTGCTGCTGAGCTGAACATGGGTTGGCTAGCTCCGGCATGTGCAGCACATGTGCAGTACCCAGTGCCCCGCACACCTTGACGGTCTTGTCGTCGGAGCAGGTGGCCAGCATGCGTCCATTATCGGAGAAGGCGCAGCCGCGCACGGCGGCGGTGTGGGCCTTGAGCACGGTGGACCGCCCCTGGGCGGTGGGCGTCCACAGCCGCACCGTGCGGTCCTTGGAGGCTGATGCAATCAGGTTGCTGACGGCGTCGTACGCCACGCAGCACACCGCTGCCTGGTGGCCCAGGTAGCGGAAGGCGCGCATGCGCTGGTTGAAGTTCCAGGCCATCACGCAGCCGTCCACAGACCCGCTCACAGCCTGCACAGGGTTGTGCGCAGGTGGGCAGAGGGTCAGGCGCCGGATGGCGAGGATGGAGTGCGGCGGTTGTGTGTTGCAGCGCGCTGGCGCACGCCGCTTGCCTGCTTCATGGCTGGGCCGCAGAAGGCCACCGAGGTGACGGCGCCTTTGTGGCCCCTGAAGACGCGCTGCAGCTCGGGGTCGGGGCTGTCCATGCCGGACGAGGCACCTGCTGAGCGGGCGGCAGGCGGCGTTGGGGGGATGGCAGTGGCGGCGGGAGTAAGAGCTGGGACAGCATGGCAGGCTGGCCTTGCCTGCTGCGCAAGATGCAGGAGCAGAAGCAGAACGAGGCAGCAGGGGGGGGGGGGGGGGGGTGGGAATTTCCCAAAAAAATGGTGGTTTACCT